ATTGTGTAAATTAAAATTACAATAATTAAAATCACACAATAAACAAAATCCAAGAACTACCAATAGATCCCATACCTTGTCACGATAGGAAGTCTACTCCAATTATGAATAGATAGATAAAAATGTTTTAAAAAAGAGAGTAAATGTAGCCAACTCAACTAGGGCATTTGATGGTGTGGGGGTATTGAGTTCAATTCGTATAAAGAGAAATTGATATTTTTTATAGTAGTGATTTATTTATTTCTTATAAAAATAATTGGAAAAATTATAAAAAAAAATTTAGAGCTTGAGTCATGTAACAAAATTAATCTTGAGTTTTTAATTTTGTCAATTTAAATCTTATACTTTGAATTTGTTTTCAAGATAAACCATTTGCTTATTTTTGTTAAGTAAAATCAATAGAAAAATGAATATTTTAGTTATTAAACTCATGAAAAATATTATTTTAGACATCTTACGTATACTTATATTGAGTTTAATGACTGAAATACTCATTTTTCATCTGTTTTACTTAACAAAAATAAACGAATGATTTAGATTGAAAACAAATCAAAAGAAAATTATTTATATTGATAAAATAAAAAACTCAAGATTTATTTTGTTACAAAACTCCAACTTTAGAGTTTTTCTTGTAATTACCCCAAAATAATTTGATGATCTAAATATTTTTTATGTTTTTAATTACTTCGTATCAATTGAAAAGAAAAACGAAAGCGGACTTAATTTTTTGTACAAAGTGTAATGATATATAAATAGAAAATTCACACAAAATTTTCATACATAATGATGTAGTTTAATAGTGACATTTCACTTTAAAATAAAATGTCTATAAAGATGATTTATATTTACAAGAATGCCACTGTCGTGTCATTTTGTGGTATTTTTTTTGTATAAATTTTATGTAGCAATTTTTCTTATACAAAATTAAAATTGAAATAGGTCATAGTCAAAGTTGGTAAATGCCCAACAAAAAAACAAAAAATAGGAGTACAACTTGAGAGGTTCGGTCAGATTGGGAGGTTATCTAAGCACAGTCCAAATTGTGTTAAGATCTGCTTAGGCCCGCCTAAGCTCAAATTGTAACTCGAGATTGTATGTCTAAGTTCGACCTGAGTTAAATCTGAATTGCCTGAGTTGCTTGAATTGTACATGGATTTTAGTTTTTTTTTTTTAAGCTAAATTATTAATTTATTAAAATTAAACTATATTTACATTTTGTTTAGAAATCATTACTAATATTATAACAAATAATTTATATAATGTAAGAGATATCCTGTTATAATAGTCTTTACAATTTATAAGTGAGAATAAAAAATTTAAGATTTTGTGTTACTTATGTATATAATATCTATTCAATATGATTTAATAATTTAAATTACTTTTACATCATGTAACAACTAATAATTTATATTTATAATTCTGGTTTCGAATTACTTGCATTATTTAATATCTTTGTCTAAATTCGTTCAAATTTAATTTAGAATTCTAAATTTTTGAACCCAATAAATTCAAAAATATATTTTCAAATCTTAAAAAAATTTGAACTGGACTGAAGTCTCGTTTGAAAATAGATTTTTTTAATAATTTTTTAATTTGTTTAGCTAAAATATGATATAAAAAATTAGTATGTTTGAGATTATTTTTTTAATTTTTCATAAAAAAAATGTATAAAGAGTAAAGATAAAAGAAAATTTTAATTTTTTTTGGTATAAATCATTAACTTTTTAATTATTTTAATAACTTTTTTAACTTTTAACTAAAAGTGATGCTGACAAGGAAGATCGAATTTCTCACCAAATTTTAAGGACGTGGGACATCATATCAGCCCCGCTGCTAGTACTCCTGAATCCTCATTGCCTCAACTGACAAAACCCAGCATCTTCCATAACGCTCCTCCCCCACGTAACTCTCTCCCTGGTAGTTCATATTTAATAATCAATTATTGAAACCTTAGTATGTATTTATATATATGTGTGTCTATGTATTGATCTCGCTAGAGCGCTGAGAAATCTCTGCGTGTCTTTCAAGGAATCGAAGAAGGGATTCGAGGGTTGGGGATTCGAAAATGGCGTTTTTGGGGCTGAGCTCTGGATTCAAATTGTTGTTTTCTCTAGCTATTTTGTACGGACTAATGTCGACTTTAGTTTATGCTTTTATTTGTTGGTTTTTAGTTTTAATTTGTAATGGTCTAAATAAACCAGTTTTCTTATGGTTGTTTAAATTTTAGAACAGTATGTCGTTATTATGGAAAGACATATTGTTATTGTGGAACTTATATAATGTTATATTTATGTTTTTATGAAGTTAAAATGTTTTATAGTTTTTTTGTTATTTAATTATGTGAATCCGTGGTCCTAAACCGATCCAATCCGTGTTTAAATGGATTGGTTCGGATTGATTCCACGATTTAAACGGATTGAATTGATTTTAATTTTTCAAGAACTGTTGATAACAAATTGGTCCTTATTTTACCTCAATCCGGACCGTGTTCACCCCTAAAAAAATTAAAAAAATGAAAAATATTAATCATTTTCATCTAGTTTTATCTTTTTGAGTCTTGGAGACAATGAAATGTTCACTTGACTGAGGTAGGTTTTTTTTTATTTTGTACTGAAAGTTCTAGATTAGGGGTATTTAATAATCAGATTCAATACTTAAAACTGAACGTTTGTGATAATCGATTAAACTTGTTTGATAATCACAATTAATGTCACTTAAAGATTTAAAGTGCCTTTTAAAATATAAGCTAAAATTTTTTAAAAAATTAAGTGATATAAAACTTATTTAATTCTGATTGAATTTATAAACACTAAATATAAGTATCAATATACACCGTTACAAACTTACTACTACCATCACAGCCACCACCATCATGCCACTGCTGCCGCCACTACTACCACCACCACCACCACCATCACAATATCAAAATTGAAATATACAATTTGAAAATAATAAGTTTTAAATTTGATCTTATACATATCAAACAACTTATTTTTAATTCAATACTTAAATTTTTATCAAACAGCACCTAACTATGTTTTGTTTGGATGACGAGAAAATGTATAGAGGGTTTAGAAATTTGGCTCTTTTTGGTTTGGTTTTTAAAAATTAAAAAAAAAAAATCCGATTTTTTTTTTCCTCTTAAAAATATAATTTGGTGAAAAAAGTTATGGTTGAGTAAGAAATCCGTGAAATTCGTAATCCGATTCGGTCCAGTCCAATCCGGTAGGTTTGGATTGATCTTTTGCATCCGTGGTTCGGTTTCGGATTGAAAAATTAAAAATTCGTAGTCCACAGATCGGTTCTGGATTGAATTCCACAGTTCCGGACTAGAACCGATCCGGACCGTATACAAATAGCTTATATTTATATTATACACCCTCCCGTATAGTATCTTATCTTATTTCATATAAAACCTAAACCTAAACACAAACCTAAACCCGCATAGTATCTTTTTTACTGCTTTTATTTGTTGGTTTTTAGTTTTAATTTGTAATGGTCTAAATAAACCAGTTTTCTTATGGTTGTTTAAATTTTAGAACAGTATGTCGTTATTATGGAAAGACATATTGTTATTGTGGAACTTATATAATGTTATATTTATGTTTTTATGAAGTTAAAATGTTTTATAGTTTTTTTGTTATTTAATTATGTGAATCCGTGGTCCTAAACCGATCCAATCCGTGTTTAAATAGATTGGTTCGGATTGATTCCACGATTTAAACGGATTGAATTGATTTTAATTTTTCAAGAACTGTTGATAACAAATTGGTCCTTATTTTACCTCAATCCGGACCGTGTTCACCCCTAAAAAAATTAAAAAAATGAAAAATATTAATCATTTTCGTATAATTTTATCTTTTTGAGTCTTGGAGTTCACTTGACTAAGGTGGGTTTTGGTTTGTACTGGAAGTTTTAGATTAATTATGTTCTGTTTGGTTGATGAGAAAATGTAGAGAGGGAGTAGAAATTTGAGTGTTTTGAGTCTTGGAGACAATGAGAAGTTCACGTGACTGAGGTGGGGTTCAATTGGATTTTGTATTGGAAGTTCTAGATTAACTATGTCCTATTTGGTTGACGAGAAAATGTAGAGAGGGGATAGAAATCTGGCTCTCTTTGCTTTGGTTTTCAAAAAAAAAAAAAATCTATATTTTTTTCTTCTAAAAATCTAATTTGATGAAAAAAAATAAAAAAAATGAAAAATATTAATCATTTTCATCTAGTTTTATCTTTTTGAGTCTTGGAGACAATGAAATGTTCACTTGACTGAGGTAGGTTTTTTTTTATTTTGTACTGAAAGTTCTAGATTAACTACTTTATGTTTGGTTGACTAGAAAATGTGGAGAGGGCATAGAAATTAAAGTTCTGTGTGCTGGAAATTGTTAAAAGTTCACTTGATTGAGGTGGGGTTTCGTTTCGATTTTGTACTGGAGGTTCTAGATTAACTATGTTCTGTTTGGTTGACGAGAAAATGTAGGAAGGAATAGAAATTAAAGTTTTGAGTATTGATGACAATGAAAAGTTCATTTGACTTCACTCGACTGAGCTGGGGCATTGGTATTGGCGCTGTGGTAGAACATGTATTGAAAATAGGTGAAAATTAAAAAGTATTTTGATTTCAGTGAAAAGTGTGTTGAGTTTTTGAATTCAATAAAAATGTGTGTTAATATTTAATTATTTTTGTTCCCTAGGATAGTTGTTAGCAAGACCTGAAGTGTTGTTTTATTTTCCATTTTTCTTTTCGTAAATGAAAGAAATTGAGTGGGAAAGATATTTTTTTTCTTTGTTGCCTGCTGCCAAACATGCAATTCTTCATTTTTAGCTGAAATAGCCAAAAAGTGGCTACCAAACATGGTGAATTCACTGAAGCTTTAGAACTAATGCATTATCATTGGAAATGAAAGCAAAACAGATTGCAGAAGATTTTAATTTTGTATGTATATGATTTATATCTAGTTTTCTTTCCCAGATTCTGTTTCTGTTTGACAAAACTATGCACGAATTGGCTGGATAGACGAAGATTTGTGCATTGTTTTTCTTGGTAAACTTTTTAGTGGGATTGTTGATAGGTAGGGCGACAAGGTTTAGATGATGCTGCTCAATACATCAAAACGCAGCTTGATATGATGAAGGAGCGAGCTGGATCTGATTTTAGGTTGGTACACGGTTTCGCATTCAAGGTTTTGCAGTTAAATTCTTCAAAATGTGTTAATTTTACTGCTGAAAATTTGTTTTGCTTGCAGGATTGAGATTGAGGACACCACTGTCAATGGTACCTTCAACATGATGTTTTTAGGTTATAGCATATCTCTGGGATATAAAAACCATAGAAACATTATCATGAGGTATATTATATGTTAACGTAAATTTTGCTTCTATGTTGGATTTTTTGGTATTTTTCACTTGCGAAACTTGGTATATTATATTAGACTACCAGTTACTTTTAGGTTCCAGTATTGCATACAGCTTGCTGCATTTCTAATTTGCATATTACACCTCTGATTTTATTTTATACTACAATTTAAGATGGTATAAGATTTTCACAAATGTGACAGAGCATACTGACATATGAACAATTTAGACTTCCATTAGAGAGAGAGATTATCTCATAAGAATTGATTCCATACAATATTTTCCATGCAAGCATGCGTTAGTGCAATTCTTCATAAATTGGCAATACATCAAATGCAAGTAGTTGGCCCATTTGCAAGACCATAGAAAAGCAAAACAAAATAAAAAAAATTTGGCTACGAAGCAAAAAACATTAATGTTAAGTTGATAGAGAAATGTTAGATGATAAGTTTCATTTCCTATTGGCCTTGTTACAGCATGAACTACATAAAATCAAAGAAAAAGTGAATACAAAACTTGAAAGTGCTAAGCCCTTTGCCATGATACAATAATCATCAGTTTCTGCTGTTTTTAGGACTGGAAAATGTTAAAAGCTGTTGTTAGTCTTGATATATGTGTAAAACGTGTATAGATATGCGTGAAAGTGTTTAAGAATATATAAAAAGAATGATGAAATTATAAATATTTTGGCATTATATCCTTCTTAATGACAGCTTGTTAGCATAACCCTTTATAATTCCAATTCTGCATTAAAGGGGCAATTTTTCAATGTGTAAATGATACTAGGAAATGAGCTACCATCGTGAATGCCACCTTGAACTAACTGGATTTGAGTTGCAGGATATCATCTGTAGGTTCACAAGACAATGACCCATCAGTTTTAGTGAATGGCCATTTTGATAGTCCACTTGGTTCTCCAGGTGCTGGTGATTGTGGTTCATGTGTTGGTGGGTTTTGAAGATCATCTTTATGGTTTTGGTGATATTATCTTCATTACTTCTCCTTTGATTGTATGATTTTCTCTTTCACAGCATCAATGCTGGAAATAGCAAGGCTTACTGTTGATTCTGGGTGGGTTCCTTCTCGTCCAATTATATTTTTATTTAATGGTGCAGAAGAACTTTTTATGTTGGTAAGTAACTCTTGTGAATACTGAGTTCCTACCAAAAAATGAAAAAAAACTCTGGTGTTGTTGTTGTGTATGCAAAATTACAATTTGACTATCATTCTTCTAATTTCATATAGTTCTTGTATATCTCACTTGAGCTGATAATGTCCTCTCTGCATTTGTATTTCAGATTTTCCCATTGTTCATGTTGTGGAAGCAATGATTTGGTGTCAACAAAATGAAATTGATGTGATGATTAAACATAAATCAAACATTTTCAGGAATATCAACAAATTACAGAAATAGGTCGTTGCACGTGGGTGATGATGATGATTATACTACTGAACTAATCGTGAACCCTTGAGATATGGTCACGAATATCAACTAATTAAATTTGTACTACTGCGATCTGGTCACCTTCTGAGATTTGCCATTTGTGACACAACTTTTAGATTTCCTCTATTTGTCTTCCATTATTAATCATCTTTTTTGTTTGTCAATATTTTCCCTCAAAACATAGAGAGAGTTAGAGGGAGAGGGATGAAGATTATGGCTTGCATATTGTCAGTGTCACAGGATTCTGGCTTGATATTTTGCAAAGTTAATCCATTTCAATGTATATCTTTATTTACGTAAATGCGTAGTTATTTTATTCCTCTTTCTTTCCTTGCATTTAATTTCAATCCCAACATTGCCTGCACTATAGATGGGGTTATTTGTACACTGTAGGTGGAGTGGACGAAGCGAAAAATAGGATAGTTCTGCTCACATTGCATATTCTTTATTGGTTTTGATTGCTAATATATTTTAATGTCTTTTTGATCATATATATTTTAATGTTGAGTAACTACCTTTTTACTTGAATGGAAGCATGTGCAGAAACTCAATAGGCCCATCATGACTTGTGTGCTGTGACCACTCATTTTGGCAGATCATGATCTGTTTACCACTGTTGTTTATTTATTTATATTTTTGGATAAGCCACTGTTGTTTTAAAATGTTTGATAGACTGCAAATGGCAAATGTTGTAAATGGTAATGTATTATTTTGCACAATTGCCTATTTTAAGCTAATAGGAGTCTATTGTTGTGTTCTCCAGCTAATAATCATTGAACTTGTCAACGGTCTCCAACATTTCAGGGTTCACATGGCTTCATGACATCACATAAATGGCGTGACACAATTGGAGCTTTTATAAATGTTGAGGCATCTGGGACAAGAGGCCTAGGTAGGATTCTATCTGCAGCTTGCCCTCTTTTGCTAATATTGTTAAATTATTTATACCATGCTTGTGATATATATTTCTGGGACTGCAAAGTGCTTCTTGGTAGACCTTGTCCTTTTTGGTGGGTTATAGGGATTGATCAATAACCTCAAGCTCAATGCTTTAACATAAATAAATAAATAAATGTGCTAGCTTACTTGCTGTAATAGCAATAATGATAAAAATTCACTTGTTCAACATTGTTAATTTCTAGTTGAAAAATGACTGTACAAAAGTACGTAGTAACCAGACTATAATAGGAAGTAGCTATTATTTCTGGAAAACATAAAGAAGGTTTCTCTGTCTTTCTATGGTTATATATATGTTTGGGAGGTGGAATTGGATGGTTTGATGTATAGTTACAATTGCTATTTTCTATTATTGTGAGGGGTTTTGGGGTTTTAGTTTTGGGTTTTGGGGTTTTGTGAGTGGATTTGGGCTTCTTATGTATATGTATATGTTTTGATCACTTTTGATCCATTTTACTGAACTAGGTGATGGGAAATCACGAATATTTGTTGAACTGAATTTCAGAAAGTTCCCCAACTCATGTAATAAGAATTTGGTCTGTGGTTCACCGGAGTGTAATAATTCCAAGACAACTAAATTTGGTTATATTGGCTTATTGTTTTCTCTTCCTGAATCAGACCCTTTAAAATCTTGTTTGCATTGTATGTGCAGATGAATACCATCAATAAACATCCCTAATCACTAATGCTTGCACTTATACGAGCTACCATTGTGCTTCCTAAAAATCTGAAAGTTGAAAATACACTGAACTTTCTTATTTTTGTTTCAACTTAATACTTGAGGAGGTCATTTCTTAAATTCTCAAATTCTCACTATTACCATTGTCCTATTTCTTTGATAGTGCTTTCATCCTTTTTGTGCGCCGCTGATCCACTGCTCTCAGTTTTTGATATAGCTATTTTGATTGCAATTTTAAGTACCATTTATGGGTTATGGCCTGACTACTAATGCAGATGATTGAGTTAATTGATGGAAATTGTCTATTGATTTTACAGAAAGAAAAAAAAAAAAAAAGAAAAGAAAAGAAAATTCTAAGTTACGTATAACAATAGGAAAACTATCTTCTCCATTGGAGGTTCTAATCTTTGACATCTTTTGCATGTCATGCTCGCATTTATTGTGGAGCAGAACTCTCTGTTGATAAATTACTTTTCAATGAACAGATTTAGTCTGCCAATCTGGACCGGGGTCTTGGCCTTCGCTTGTTTACGCTCAATCAGCTTTATATCCTATGGCAAACAGTGCAGCTCAGGTTTTTGCTTTACTTCTCTGTGTATTTCTTATGAACTCCTTGATATTAGTTGATAAAGGAAGCATCAGTGTGGATATTGCACTTCAGTATTCTAAAAGTTGAAGATTTCTTATTTGAAGAATTTCCGTGAAACATGTGCATTTAACAAGTATATTAGTTAACTTGTTTGGAAAGATGTTTGGATTCATATTAGTGAATTTAAATATGATGTACTAGAAATTCATTGGGAAAATCTGACTGTTTGTAGTTTTTGTTAAAAATGCATGTTTTAGGAATTGCTATCTTAGCAAAGAAATATTTATGATTAAAATCTTTAAATAAAAATATATAACTCCATAAAAGTTGTTTTGCAATTATTTAAATTGAAGTTTGACATTTGTATATACGTAATAATGGCACAAAATAATCATGATGATGCTTAATAAGATGCTCTGGTAACATGTTGCATTCAAGTTGGTTTACATAATGCAAATGGTGCTTGATATTCTTGGCTAATGAGCACAGTATGGTTAAATTTGGCAACTGAAATTTTATTTCATTGGACAGAGTAGTATGGAAACTTGTAGTAAATTCAGGAGAAAAATCAAACTCCAATGAGATGCTCTGGTAGGAGTGTTCATGAGGTCTTTCATTGTGTGCTGCATTCAAGCTGACATTGTTTGTATTATTCGTCATTTTTGGGGGTAGTTACTCTTCTTAGGGTTGAAACCTTACAATTTATCTTCACTGCCTCGTCAATTATGTTAACGTGGTTGTTCCCCTGTTTTTACTTTTAATTCTGTACAATTGGTGTAGTTGTGAGTGTTTATTTATCTATTCATGTACAGGATGTTTTTCCTGTTATTCCTGGAGATACAGACTACAGAATTTTTGCTAATGATTACGGCAAGATTCCTGGACTGGATGTGATATTTCTCCTTGGTGGTTATTTTTATCATACCTCCTTCGACACAGTGGAAAGACTATTGTATGCATTACAATTGCTATTTTGGTACAGTTAATTTACTTGGAAGTTTACAATAATTTCATTCATGTTTGCTTCCTCTGACGCATGTACAACACTGTCAACCAGACCTGGCAGCATCCAAGTCCGCGGGGATAATTTGTTCAGTGTAATTAAAGCCTTCACCAACTCTTCTAAGCTACAAAATGCCCTTGAACGAGAATCTCTTGGAGTTGCAGCCAATGAATCCGATAATGAACGAGCTGTTTTCTTCGATTACTTAGCATGGTTCTTGGTATGTGACAGCCTACTAAATCAAGATGTGGTTAATAGATATTCTGCTAATTAATAGACAAAAAATATTTATGAGAGAACATGGTGTTAAGTGATAACAAATTTGTGAATCTTTCAGATATTCTACACCAGAAAGCAAGCTGTGGTACTTCACAGCATTCCTGTTGCCATCTACCTATTTATGCCCTTCTTATTGCGCTTAGCAAATGATGGGTTATCTTGTTCGATCGCAACATTTTATGACTTCATTAAAGGTAACATGGTTACTGCTCATATAATTGGAAAAATTGGTCCTGTTACCGTCATTTTGTGCTTGTTGAATGAGCTACTTCAATTTATCTAGTATATTAGTATAACGTGGTCACTTTGCTAAATCTTCAGGAATGTTGGTCCATGCTACTGGGATCATTCTTGCAGCTCTTTTTCCAGTGATCTGTGCTATCTTGAGATTGCTTGTCACTGGTCATTCAATGAACTGGTAGGGATTCGTTTCATGCCAGATCACTTTCTGTCTAAACAATTGCCTTGGAGGAATGTCACATATCTTACTATACCATAAATGTCCATGTATTTGTCCTTAAGAACTTTCTGTTAGATACAACATGTATCCAGTTGGAGCTTAACAATCGATATATATCTGTTAAATAGTTCTTGATTTTAATAGCAAGAACTTCCATTAGATAGTCGGGTGTGGTCATTGATGGAAACTTGTTCTTTGTGTATGTTGCATGACATGAATGCAGAGTAGTGCTTTTCTTTTGTTTGTTTTCATAATTAATAACCTATTGTGGGGAACTGATGCTAAGCTCAAAGTGAATTGGTATCTTGGGTTGTATTACATAAAAAAGAAAAAAAACAAAATTTAAAGTTCCATTCCACTTCAGAAGTTGAAGTTTGAAGTATACAACCTTGATCTGTTATTTTCTTTTCTTTGCAAGCAATGTATCCACTTGCTGACTTCCATGGATCTCCTGCTTGTCTAAATGCAGGTTTGCTCATCCGTTCTTAGCTTTCATGATGTTCGTACCATGCTCACTTGTTGGTCTACTGATTCCAAGAATTGTTTGGAGATGTTTTCCTCTCTCTCAAGATGTGTCTGTTCTTAAAGCATCAAGAGAGGTATAAGTTTTGCTCTAAACCTTGTTAAATGATAAAAGTGTACTAAATTTATAGTATATCATTGTCCATTAGTAGGAATTAGAGTTGTAAGAAATGGAGTTTTGGCTATTTGAATAACTTTTGAGTAACATGTACAAAAACAACCACTCCAGAAATGGAGGAAGGTTGCATTCGTCTTGTCCTCTCAAGACCCCGATTTAGCATGAGCCTTGTGCACTGGGTCAGCCTTTTAAGTCATCTTTGCAAGGAGGGAAAAAAAGCATCCAACACAAAGTTGTCTCTTTCACTATGTTCTTTCATGGTGAAGAAAAGCCACCACGTTGCCAAAACATGTCATTTGTGTTCCACTTAGAATGTCAGCCAACTAAATTACTGATTCAAGCCTTTGTAGAACTAATAATTTTGTTTGCCATCCATATTATGAGTTTTTTTTTTTTGGCTGAATTGATGGATATTGTGAGGCTTTGTAAGAATTTATGTATTATTGATTAATGTATTTAATATTTATTACAATGATTCATGATTCCCATATATAGAAGAGGGTGAGTGTGTAGTAGGTGAGGAGTAGGTGGAGAGTAGGTGAAGTAGGTGAGTGTGTAGTAGGTGGTAGTGGTAGGTGTGTAGTAGGTGAATTTTAACAGTGAAAGAGACAACTTTGTGTTGGATGCTTTTTTTCCCTCCTTGCAAAGATGACTTAAAAGGCTGACCCAGTGCACAAGGCTCATGCTAAATCGGGGTCTTGAGAGGACAAGACGAATGCAACCTTCCTCCATTTCTGGAGTGGTTGTTTTTGTACATGTTACTCAAAAGTTATTCAAATAGCCAAAACTCCATTTCTTACAACTCTAATTCCTACTAATGGACAATGATATACTATAAATTTAGTACACTTTTATCATTTAACAAGGTTTAGAGCAAAACTTATACCTCTCTTGATGCTTTAAGAACAGACACATCTTGAGAGAGAGGAAAACATCTCCAAACAATTCTTGGAATCAGTAGACCAACAAGTGAGCATGGTACGAACATCATGAAAGCTAAGAACGGATGAGCAAACCTGCATTTAGACAAGCAGGAGATCCATGGAAGTCAGCAAGTGGATACATTGCTTGCAAAGAAAAGAAAATAACAGATCAAGGTTGTATACTTCAAACTTCAACTTGTGAAGTGGAATGGAACTTTAAATTTTGTTTTTTTTCTTTTTTATGTAATACAACCCAAGATACCAATTCACTTTGAGCTTAGCATCAGTTCCCCACAATAGGTTATTAATTATGAAAACAAACAAAAGAAAAGCACTACTCTGCATTCATGTCATGCAACATACACAAAGAACAAGTTTCCATCAATGACCACACCCGACTATCTAATGGAAGTTCTTGCTATTAAAATCAAGAACTATTTAACAGATATATATCGATTGTTAAGCTCCAACTGGATACATGTTGTATCTAACAGAAAGTTCTTAAGGACAAATACATGGACATTTATGGTATAGTAAGATATGTGACATTCCTCCAAGGCAATTGTTTAGACAGAAAGTGATCTGGCATGAAACGAATCCCTACCAGTTCATTGAATGACCAGTGACAAGCAATCTCAAGATAGCACAGATCACTGGAAAAAGAGCTGCAAGAATGATCCCAGCAGCATGGACCAACATTCCTGAAGATTTAGCAAAGTGACCACGTTATACTAATATACTAGATAAATTGAAGTAGCTCATTCAACAAGCACAAAATGACGGTAACAGGACCAATTTTTCCAATTATATGAGCAGTAACCATGTTACCTTTAATGAAGTCATAAAATGTTGCGATCGAACAAGATAACCCATCATTTGCTAAGCGCAATAAGAAGGGCATAAATAGGTAGATGGCAACAGGAATGCTGTGAAGTACCACAGCTTGCTTTCTGGTGTAGAATATCTGAAAGATTCACAAATTTGTTATCACTTAACACCATGTTCTCTCATAAATATTTTTTGTCTATTAATTAGCAGAATATCTATTAACCACATCTTGATTTAGTAGGCTGTCACATACCAAGAACCATGCTAAGTAATCGAAGAAAACAGCTCGTTCATTATCGGATTCATTGGCTGCAACTCCAAGAGATTCTCGTTCAAGGGCATTTTGTAGCTTAGAAGAGTTGGTGAAGGCTTTAATTACACTGAACAAATTATCCCCGCGGACTTGGATGCTGCCAGGTCTGGTTGACAGTGTTGTACATGCGTCAGAGGAAGCAAACATGAATGAAATTATTGTAAACTTCCAAGTAAATTAACTGTACCAAAATAGCAATTGTAATGCATACAATAGTCTTTCCACTGTGTCGAAGGAGGTATGATAAAAATAACCACCAAGGAGAAATATCACATCCAGTCCAGGAATCTTGCCGTAATCATTAGCAAAAATTCTGTAGTCTGTATCTCCAGGAATAACAGGAAAAACATCCTGTACATGAATAGATAAATAAACACTCACAACTACACCAATTGTACAGAATTAAAAGTAAAAACAGGGGAACAACCACGTTAACATAATTGACGAGGCAGTGAAGATAAATTGTAAGGTTTCAACCCTAAGAAGAGTAACTACCCCCAAAAATGACGTATAATACAAACAATGTCAGCTTGAATGCAGCACACAATGAAAGACCTCATGAACACTCCTACCAGAGCATCTCATTGGAGTTTGATTTTTCTCCTGAATTTACTACAAGTTTCCATACTACTCTGTCCAATGAAATAAAATTTCAGTTGCCAAATTTAACCATACCGTGCTCATTAGCCAAGAATATCAAGCACCATTTGCATTATGTAAACCAACTTGAATGCAACATGTTACCAGAGCATCTTATTAAGCATCATCATGATTATTTTGTGCCATTATTACGTATATACAAATGTCAAACTTCAATTTAAATAATTGCAAAACAACTTTTATGGAGTTATATATTTTTATTTAAAGATTTTAATCATAAATATTTCTTTGCTAAGATAGCAATTCCTAAAACATGCATTTTTAACAAAAACTACAAACTGTCAGATTTTCCCAGTGGGTTAGGTTTAGTGGAGTAGGTGAGGTGGTAGTGTTGTAGTGGGTTAGGTTTAGTGGAGTAGGTTTAAGTGGAGGTGGTAGGTGATAGGTTTTAACAGGCTTGTAGATTTTTGAGTCTTTGGCATATGAATGATGCAAGTTGTGACAGTATCTGACAAGAAATGTTGTGGGTTTAGGGGTTTCATTATCAATAATATGTAATTTTTTTTTTTCAGTCCCATCTTTTGGTTTACCATAATTTTCATCAAACACACATCTGCTTTTGGGAGGTTGCCAGATCCATATTCTGATTGCATTTCATAACATTCAGAGTGAGCATCTGACATATAGATCTTGCAGGAACTAGCTGATGAGGCAAGGTTTTGGGGAGCATTTGGGTTTTATGCTGTTTTGACTGCGGTGTGTTATTCGATCCTTTTGCTAATTCATTATTGTTATGTTTTAACAAATTATTTGAGATGTGTGTTTGACTCGTTGAATTTTCAGTTAAAATTCAAGAGTATTTTAAAAAATTAATATTAGAATTGGCTAAATAGAACTTATGAAAGCAGGCTTATCTTGTAGCTGGCTTGAGTGGAGGTTTCTTGACTTTTTCCTCGTCAGTTTTTATGCTTCCTGCATGGATCTGCTTTTGCCTATCACTAAAGTCTTTTGGTCGTCAATCACTCAGGTAGTAATTATGATAAATTTTTTCCATTGTCATACGCTTTTTTGGACTGCATACTAGGTAATCTAACTTGTTATGCCACTGGTTTCAGGTCAATAGCATGTTATGTTGTACCTCTAATACCTTGCCTTGCCTATTCCGTCTACTTTGGTGGGTTTATTGCCCAATTCTTAATTGAGAAGATGGGAATGATGGGTTCTCTGCCACCTCCTCATGGTTAGTACTTCTGGACTTCTTTTTCTGTAGCTTCTTTCATTTCATGATGTTTTGGTTCTGTCACTACTGATTGCTCTCTTCTTGTTAAAAAGCTCGATTTACTAGTACTTTACTCTCATGTTATATGGACTTGGATATGGGTGTCGGGCGCAGTATACATCGAGGTGTCTGATTCTTCTAATTCCCATGTCCAATGAGGCATGGCAAAATTCATATTTCTTAATTTATTTCTTTTATTTTTCTATGGTGAATAGTGTTCACAAATTCATATTTCTTAATTTATTTCTTTTATTTTTCTATGGTGAATAGTGTTCACAAGGTACCTTAGAGCATTTCATGCGTATGTAGGCGTTCAATGCATGGTTTTGTGGTAAACTTGAATTATCAATTGTGCTTACTAGGTGAATGTCCAAGTACTCATATACGCATATCCCATACCCTTCACCCAAGTTTTGAGTGTCTGACATGGGGATTTCATACATCTAGAAGAATCTAAGTAAAATAGGTTTACTCCTGTGCTAGGTTTTCTTCATACTTATCAAATGTTGTATCTTTGTCCATTTACTACCCTTAAGAAAAAAAATTAAGGTTATTACTTACAAAGGATACATTAGATTTCTCCCCGTTCAAATATTTTCTTGATTCAAGTTTTGTTGAATTTTGCAATTTGCATCGTCATATTTCCTGCTCTCTAGTCACTTATGCTGGACTATCAACTCTTCATTTAAACTTAATCGCAGTTAAGATTTTACCTTTTGCAAACTTTGTATATTGAGCAATTTTTTTTCTTGTGTTTCTCCAACTGTAGTTTCAAATTTTATGATCTTCCTGTCCAAATTATTGAATGGTGTAAACTCCATGAATTTCATTTGTATGACTAATTAAACAGACAATGACGAACACCTGTATGGAACAATTTGTTTTTTATATGATTATACTTGAATTGGCAAGTGGTAAACTTGTATTTCCATGGATATTCATCTCATTGCATCTTTTTGATGCCACAGAACTGGTGTCTGTGAGAAGGTTAATGTGAAAATTTGGAGGAAGTAAAGCAATATAATTGAGTTTTTAGTGATATTCACAAGCTATGACGTCACATTTAAACCTTTGCTTGCAGGTTATTTTGTTCCTGACATTGTAGTAGCAGCACTTACTGGAGTTGTAACTGGTTGGTGTGTGGGACCTCTTATACCTGTTCTTGGCCATTGGTTAGCCAGATCAGCTATCCTGCAATTCTTGCTGCAACTTACAGTGATTGCCATGGCACTCTCATCACGATTCTTTCCATATAGCATTGACGCACCTAAAAGAGTTGTTTTCCAGCATACAGTTTTAACTACAGGTATTGAAGAAAAGTTCAAATGCTTCGAGTGTTATATTCGTTCTGTATACTATCATTGCAAGCCCAGTCTGAGTTACTCTGGATCAATTTTTTTCCCAGTTCCGGCTTTCAAAGTTGTGAGCTCTTCTTTGATAAGGAACAATCTTGAATCCAAAATCTTGTTTTGATTACAAAAATTGTTGGTCCTGTTTGAAACGTTTATCTCATTTTGCTGCAGTCTAATTGCAAAAAATCTTTATTGTGTATCTTATTGGCTAGCCTTTCTAAAGCATTGACTAATGAACAACAATGTGATATCTCTTCTAAATGCAACCCTTTTTTGGGGTAAAAGTTAACTGCAACTTTAGTGTTGGTTTATTGGAAATATTTAGTTGCTATTTTCATGTGTGTATATATATATTTTTTAAGATCTTAATTTTTAGAATTTGAACATGCTCTTATGTGCATTACTCTTGTATCTTCTGACTAGTGTTTTACTTCTGGGATTGACAGATGCAAGTCACATTGTGGACACCAATTATGAGTTTTCTGTTGTTGACTCCAATTCTCTACTTTTTGTCTTCAAACATGCGCCTGAAGTGGCAAAAGAATTGCAAATTGGTTCGGTGCTATCTTTCGAAACAGCCAATTTTTCTCACCAAGAAAATTGGATGGTATGTGAATTAAGCCAACACAATGTCAAATCATGAATTGAAACGATATTTGAATGATTTATGCCTTAATAAGGAATTATAATTAATGTGATGTGTTTTAAAAAAACACTGAATGTCTTTTCTATTGTACTAGATTTAATTTTTCACTCACCATTGATAGGTTGGTTTGTACTTGGAAGTGACTATTACATTCATTCTTTATTGCTTTTAATTTCATTTGCATCGTTGGTTGAAATTTGAAGTGGTGATCTGTTTCTTATGCAGGCAATCTATCCAGTATCTTTCTTGTTCTCAAGAAGCTTGAAATTTTCTGCAAAAAGCGATGAGGTCTTGAAGGAATATAGATATTTCCCCCATCTATCAAGCTATAAGCCACAAACGATTTCTGGTAGTGGATCTCGGAAGGTCTACTTGGAATTATCATTAGGGTGAGTTGAAAGTGATGCACATTGCTATTACTAGACTGATTGAGATCTTTCTTCCTTATTTACACTTTCAGTTTTGAGCAGTGGATGTGTAAATATTCTAAATATGCATGTGTAAAACCAGGGGCGGAGCCACAGCTATGACAGTGGTGTCAGTTGACACCACTGAGTTGAGAAATGCTTTTGAATTATATGTAGATTTTGTCTAAAACTTTTGGAGATTTTACAAGCTGACCAGTAGAATAAGAAAACATTCAAAAAAAAAACTTTATGAGCTTCACAAATTGGCCCCAATGGAATGGGAAAATATGTATAAAGAAATAAAAGTATTGTTTAGGTCATTAAAATGAAAGTAGAATGGAATGAAATAGAACGGTTATTTCTTAACCTCCCTATAAAATAATCATTTTTTTATAATGGTGAATGATGACACTATTTGCAATTCATTTTCATCATCTTTCTAGTGGACTAAACGTGACAGAACATTCTAATGAAATGATTATTTTAATTCCATTTTTATTCTAATGAACCAAACATTGAAAATGACTCACCAAGATTGTAGCAACCAGCATACAATGTTGTCTCCTCCTCGCAATTTTCATTCCTTTATGCCAAGTCTTCTTGTCACCGTCTTTAAAATAAATATAAAAAACAAAACAAAACAAAACAAAAACATAAACAAAAAGAAAAACTTGTCAATGGTCTATGCCTGGAAGATTTGCAAGTTAACCTGATTCAAGCATTTCGAGAAGTTTCATTTAGCAAAAAGTGTTTGCTTGATTTTTGTGAAAACAATAATAAGAGTTTTTTTTTTTTTTTAAATTATTTTTGTTGATGTGATTGACAATATATATAAATAATGTATTATGTGAAAGTTGATTTTTAATAAATTATGTGAACTTAAAAAAATTTACATAATTACACTGATGATGACTTGTTGAATGACCCACCTAGATGAAATTTTTGGCTACGCCACTATGTAAAACATCATTGTAGTTGAATTGTAGGTAAACCTAAATATTGTTTCTTTCTTGTGTAAATGACCAAGTGTGGGTGAGAGAGATTAGAGACGATCGGTTGTTGACCTCTGGGGAGATGGCAGACACTTTAATGGCCTGAGATCATAGGAGGTGGAAGAGAAGAGCAATGTAGGCTTTAGAGAGGAAAGGGGTGGCGGCGAGAAACCTTGAACACTTTGTATATGTTGTATGATTCTTGTTGCTCTTGTTATATGATTGTGGCTGCACTTATGATGCCGTTATATAGACTCCAGGAGTATTGGAGCCCAAGGAACCTTAAGACAGGTGGCAAGTTCTCCTCAACTCGACAGGAGAGTGATATCAACCCTACTAGTTGTGTCCTATGATTTAGGTCCTTGGGAATGTTGCATTATAGGAGCTGCAGGTGTAGGTATGATATCTTGAGAAGTGTATCATATATGCAACATGTGTAAGTATAAGGTCAACGTCTCTTTCTCTAAGCCAGGTCAAGGGGGAGCTGTCACTGTAGGGAGATAGCTACATGACCTTGACGATCTCTAGGTCTTAGCCTCTAATCCACAATCCTCTAATGATCCCAAGCAGGAGTGTCTGGGTCCTGCTCCCAACCTAGGCAGCCAAGGGGGTGAGTGCATGGGTGAGCCAATGGATCATCCTGAGCAACTAAGTAAACATAAGTGAGCTAATGGTTCAACTATGTTGCTATGGAGCTAGGGTGAGTGGGTAGAGCATATATTTCTTGAGTTATGAAGAGTCATGGAGAGCTCTAGGTGAGCCATTTCTATCAAGGTGAGTTGTGGTCCTGTTTTCATACTTGGTGGTGTGCATTTGCCGCTTAGGCTAGGCATACGACCCCAACTCATCGTGGTGTCTCAGGGTCTACCACATGGATGTGTGATGGTGATGACGTGACGACCATAGGACTCACCACGTGCCAAGCATAAAATAGATACCCACACCAAGTTAATAGTGAACAGGTTAAATGTCAAATTTACACATTTGTTTGATTTGACATATTATTTTTTGACATAGAAAACATAGTGTGAGGTTCTATATGATGTACTCTCACATCAAAACATGAGGTTTTATACATTTCTGTATTTTTCCCTGTTTCAGTTCTTTAAAGGAGGTTTGGGTTGCTGTCCTTAACATTACTGGTCCTCTATCTAATTGGTCACTTGCAAACAATGTTCTTCCAGGTGACAAATATAGTGTTGGTTCTTTCCCATCATGTTATGAGCTTTAAGTACTTGTATCCATACATAATTTATGCTTTTGAATATATATATATTTTTACAGCTCCTGAAAGATTGAATGGTGGTCCACCTTCATATATGTGTAGACTTAGTGGAGCAAGCAATGATAACTGGACCTTCTGGTTGGAGGTAAAGCTCTAACCTCTTTTGATGTTTCTTTTTTTGTCTGTATTTCTACTGCCTCCTTTTCTCTTTTTCATTTTGTCAGCATTCTTCATAACAAAATGTGAGTTGGGATCGCTCTAATTCATGCGATTGATTTTTCTGACATATGCTTAATTAATGCTGCATCAGTTTATTGAGTATGTTTATTAATTGATATGTTAATAATATATGTTGTTTAAGAGGCCTGGCAATTGCAAATTATTGTTAGAATTCCACATCTCTAGATTGATATCATTGCCTTCGTAATTTTTATTCTTCCAATTTTATCATGACCATTAATTCCAACATACAAATCACAACTTTCTCGGATTTCCCTGTTTTGATTGCTTCCCAGTACAATAAAATAAATTGTATATAAAAAATAATGATCCAATGCCCAAAATTCCCACTAAAACGGGATCTAGGAAGGGGAAGATGTACACAGCTTTACCCTAGTACTGGAGGTTTCCGCTGCTCAAACCTACCCCACCACCAGGAATGCTAAATTAAAATGGATATAAACTAAAATTACAAATGTATATATACACACCAAATTCATCTTCCTTCCATCACTAGATTGTATCAGTTTTCAAATCAGCGATAAAAGCTATGGTTCAAACCTATATTCAATATCTTTCTTTGGGTTTTTCTCCTCATTTATGCCCCATTTTTTGTGGAAATTGCAGGCAAACAGTACTGAAGCTTTAAGGATTGAAGTTGCCGTATTAGACCAACACTTGCTGGAATCAACCAAGAAGTTGAGAGGCCTTTTCCCGGACTGGGTGGATGTCACTGCTTATTCAAGTTTCATGTCTAGTTACGTCTTCTAGTCCCCTTCGATTATTCTCTGTTTGTAAAGACAAAAAATTTTGAGCTGCCCTTTTTTTGCTCTGAAAGTAGTTTTGTATCCAATGATTTATAGTGTAATCAAAGCAAATGTAGGGATTTTTTGTTTTTTTTTTTTTTTTAAAATGTCATTTCTTGATACATTTTTGGGCTGCAACCGAACAACGGGATGGAGCTACAGAAGAATGATAGATTATTTTTGAGTCTTATACTATCATTTTGAACAGATGATTTCTTGGTATTATTGGTCTTGTTACGTATGCCTGAAAGGCTAACTGGTGAAATTAGCAGTTGATTTTTGGCTTTAAACTTATTTTTGGTCATATTATTTATCTATTTTTTTACATTTTTTTTAAAAGACGTCAAAAAAATTAAAAAGACAAATTTTAACTAACTTTTCAGAACAACCAATAATCAGGAAAGTGAATGTTTGGTTTGGACTTCTTGTTTTTGGGTAATACAAAAGGATAAAGTGATAATTTCTGAGATTCTTTTATTTTATTTTTTTATTTTGGGTGAGGAGATGAAGGGATTTACTGTCGGCATGAGAAGTGAAAAAGTTAGATTTAATTTTGTGCGTTTAGTGTTTTGTTAATTTAAAGAGTGAAAAAGGTTTCCTTTGGCCTGCAATACTTTTAGGCCATGTTTGATTGGAAGGATTAGAGTATGGGATTAGAATTATTAATCCGTGGGTCCAATTATCCTATGTTTGTTTTGACATTTTTTTTAGGATTATTAATCCAATGGATAGTTAATCCAACAAATTTATAGGATTATTAGTAATGGGATAGGAGTGGGATTGTGAATACCACACTAATTTCATAGGATTGTTAATACCTCACTATTAGCCTTGTGGAATCAAACATAGCCTTACGGCATGTTTGATTAGAAGGATTAAAGTATGGGATTAGGATTATTAATCCGTGGGCCCAATCATCCTATGTTTGTTTTGACATTTTGGTTTAGGACTATTAATCCAATGGATAATTAATCCAACAAATTTGTAGGATTATTAGTAATGGGGTAGGGGTGGGATAGTTAATACCACACTAATTTAATAGGATTATTAATACCTCACTATTAGTATTGTGAATCAAACATGACCTTAGGGTGTGTTTGTTTGGACGGACTGGATAAGGGGGGATTGTAATCTTTCGGACTGTTAGTCCCGGGATACATTGTCCCGGGACTATTTGGTTGGATTGGATTTGTATCCTATGTTTGTTTAGTCATGGGATTAGATGTCTGAATTGGACTATTTTTAATAAATTCAATGTTTGGTTAGACAGACTGGATAATGATAAATGTTCAAAAGGCTATTTTATCCTTATAATTTATAATTTAACAACACTAAAAAAATTTAATTTATAAGGCCACAATTTTTAATTTATTATTTTCAATTAAATTAAATTTATATTTTATATTTTTATTTAATATATAATTTTAAATAACGACAATAAAAAAATAATTTTATTTAATATATAAATTAAATTTTCAACAACACTAAAAAAATTTAATTTATAAGGCCATAATTTTTATTTATCCATATGGTGGAGCTATCATGAGGAGAATACATACCAAAATGTTGAAAGAAAGTTGCATGTAAAGGTGGCCAAATTGTAGTTTGGCAACCCAAAAAACAAAAAAAAAAAGAAAAAAAAGAAAGGGCAAAATCATAATACCATAATTTATAATTTATAATTTAAATTTTTTATTTAATATATAGTTTTAAATTAACAACACTAAAAAAATAATTTATAAATGTTCAAAAGACTATTTTACCCTTTTCTAATTGTTCACTAAGTAATAGCATGGAGGGTAAAATGGACATTTTACAAAATAATCCCATGGGATACCAATCCCATGGTTTCTATCCTACACCCCCCATGGGATAGGATAGTCCCATGTTTGTGGGACTAATAGTCCGGGGGGGTCTGGAACAAATTTTTTCAAACAAACAATGAACTATTAGTCCGGTGGGACTAATAGTCTAATCCCACCCTTTTATCCCTCAAAACAAACATGCTCTTAGTTTAAAAGTTAAAAAATTATTAAAAAATCAAAAAGTTTACAATATATACTAAAAAATTAAAGATTCTTTTTCTCTATATTCTTTGTACATATTTTCGTAAAAAATTAAAAAATCATTCCAAATATTATAATTTTTTTACCTTATATTTTAATTAAAAAATTACTAAAATAACTTGTTCCCAAACGAGTTCTTAATACTTTCTTAAGTGAGATATATGTTAAATGAATAATAATGAGTGTATTCGCTACAATTGATCACTGATGGGTTGTTTCACACACCAAAAATAAACTCTTAACTGTACCAAATTTTTTAGAATAATGGCAAATCTAGGTATCGATCTACAAAGAAAATTGTGAAATTAAACTAATTTAATTGTTAAATTCTTAGATTAATTTTGATCGAATAATAATAAATAAAATAAATTAAGAGATTAAGGGGTTGTTTGGGGTGTCCTAAATAAGTGCATTTTTTGTCTTTTTGAACTAAAAAATTGAGGAAGAAAATATAGATGTTTGGGTTACCTTTTTGACTTTTTATGGAAAAATGTGTAATAAAAAATTATAAAAATTAGTTTGTAAGATAAAATTATAATTGAGAGTTGTGCAGCCGTAATTGTTGACTTTTGGTGAATAGTGTTAACTTTTTAACTTTTTGAGTAATTTTTTGACTTTTTGACTTATTCTGGATTTGCCAAACTTGGCCTAAACTAGCAATTATAAATGAAATTAGAATTACTGATTATGGAAAAACTTAAGGTAATAAATTCACCACTAGTTACATAAATAAGGTTTCAATTTGAAAATCAATTATGTTACGATTTGAATGAAATAATACTTTGCAACTACAAGCTTAAAGCATTGATCAAGAAAATTATCACATCTAATGTAAGGGCACGAACCATCTCAAATAGTATAGGTCGTTCGCTCAAAACTAAGGTAACAACATGACTCGTCCCTCATAATATGACTCGTCTCATACCTTGAATATGAAATAATAAAAAATCATTGTATGGAAATCATTCAACAATCACAAAAAGCAAAATACTTAAAGAGATAATGGAAAATATATATTTGAAACTTCTTAAACACCGTACAATTTGTTCAAACCTTTACATAATCAAAAAGCAAAGAAAAAACCTATTTACTTGGCTAGGGTTTCATCAAAACTCTAGAAAGATGAGCCTAACTACTTATGGAGGGGTGAGAAGAAGTAAAAGAAGAAGAACCCTCAATGAAAACTGCCTTTGAAGTTCGAGAATCCCTTTTTCCAAACCCTAGCCTCTTCGCTCTCTTGGATTTTTCAGAACCCTAATCCACTTTTTTTTCAGAATCTCTAGCCTTTTCCAATAGATTCAAAAATCGGGCACAATCTTCATGGCATGACCGCACGTGCGGGAAACACCACCGCACATGCAGGAAAAACCCTCCGCATGTGCAATTTTTGCAGTAGCTGATTGGCTAATTTGGTTGGGCTGCACGTGCGAAAATGGTCCTCCGCACATGTGGAAAGCCATTTTTCTGGCTAAAATGCTGTGTTTTTGGTTATTTTGTGCTCCAATCGCATCCAACTCGATTGACATTAAACAAACATAAAATGTACAATTTGACTGGCAAGTAAGGTTAAGGGATCCTAATTACTCGCCTCAATACTGTACAACTTGGCCTCGATCAATCACTTTAGCAACAGCTGGAGTCAAAGTATAAACCTTTGGCCTATTTTAGAAAGTAGTTAATCATTTTTTTTTTAAATATATAAAAAAATAATGAGGTGATGTTATTCAAAAAAGTTAAAATGTTAAAAAACTAAATTTTAACCCAATTATCCAAATAGGATAGTTATTAAACATTTGACATTAGAGATGTCATTATATCATGAAAAATGTTGGATATAATGTATTGCGCGAGAAAAAATTTATACTAAACACACAAACAAATTTAAAAATGTAATTCAACAAGAAAGAACATTGTAAGAGAAGAGTAAATTTGAATACTATACATTATTAGAAACGTATTCTTAAATATAGGTATGACCAAAACAAATTTTAAAAAAAAAAAAAAAAAAAAAGCAAATTTGGAGGTTCAAATGAAGAATTTATTGGAAATTTTGACTATCAAATCTGAAGTCAAGTGATTAGGAATGGTCAACTTAGAATCTTTGTTATCAAGAATTGAGAAGTGATATTTAAAATGCAAATATCTGTTGTCATTTTTAAATAAAAAATGTTACAAACGTTTAAAAGCATATTAAAAAATTTACACAATGTTCGCATAGGTGTATTCACGTAATGTGTGTCTCACATGCATTGTGTCCCTTTTTTTTTTGTTTTTTTGAACATACACGCGTTGTGTCCATAACATTACTTTCTTAAATACCACCATAAATTTCCCATTGGGTTAGCTTTTGTAAAAATTTAAATTAAATTTTAGCAACTTTAAATATGAAGTTTCATGTCCAACTAACTTATTTTAAGAGTATCAGAATCAATTGAAAATTTTAATATTTGATGTGATGACATAATTTGATAGAAAACTAAACATATAAAGGTATGGTGCAAATAGATTGTTATTCGTAATATTAAAATAGAGTTTTTTTATAATCCTTATCATTTATTATTTAGAATTAATTATATTTTTTATTTTCAAAATATGAATTTTATATTATTTTAAAGAGCTCTTCAAAAAATTATATATAAATTTATTTTTAAATCTATTTTATCAATCAATTATCTTCTTAACATATTACTGAATTTAAAAAGTAAATTTTTGGCCTGATTGTAATGTTTAACAATTTATATTTAGGGCAAATTACATATACCTCTTGAGGTTTGGCTAAATTACAAATATTCTTGAAGTTTGAGAAATTATAAATTCCTCCCTGAATGCTATATTTGCATAACAAATTATAAACCTCAAAAGTCAAATTGTTATAAAAATACAAACCTCAACGGACGAAATATAATTTCTGAAACTTTAAAAAAATATCTGTAATTTAATCAAATCTCGAGGGAAATATATGTAATTTACCCTTCTATTTAAGGAAAAAGTGATTTGATTTTGATAAGAAGTGCGGCATTGGGCCTATTAAAACCCGGCCCAATTGCCCTTCCCCTAGGTTTCTCCATAATTAGGGTTTTCATTTCGCCTATAAAACGAAGCGCTAAAGCTAACCCTAAACTCCTCATCCTGAACTCGCAAAGCCACGCAATCCACGCTCTTCTCCACGCAGAAGCAGCAATCATGGTGACTTCTCTCTCTCTCTCAATCTGATTTTCGAGCTGTAACATGCATATATATATATATACACAATACATATGTATACGATTGCCATGTAAATCTATTTTGTCAATCTTTCAGGTGAAATACTCGAAAGAGCCGGACAATCCCACCAAGTGTAAGTACTTTCTTACTTTTACCTCTTCAATCAACGATCTGTTCTTTACGCGCATTTACATTTTGGTTCATAGTCATTTTCATCGATATGTTAGGGTTTTGTTTAGTCCCTTTAATCTGCTTCGATACGAATAGAAAAATTCGTTTTTATTTTGTATTCAGTGTTTTGGAAACACTGTTTGTTCATCATGTTTCTCATTATTTCAGCTTGCAAAGCTAGGGGCTCCGATCTCAGAGTTCATTTCAAGGTATTTATGATCTCAGTTCTGTTGCATTTTATTTACCCAAAAAACAATTCTGTTGCATTTGAATTTAATTTTTTTTCTTTGTGTGAATTGATATTTTTAATCTTGAAGTTTTATTTGTTGAAAGAAATGTGAATGCATTACTTGGCTGGCATGTAATAGGTCGCTTACTTGGAATGAATCATTATATATGTCTTCAAATTTGTTCCGTTAAGCTGTGTTTGGATCATGGATTTTGATTGGATTTTGATAGGAATTTAAAAAGGGAAAGGTTCAAATTTGTTCCGTTACGCTGTTTTTGGTTGGAAAATTTGGGGAGAAATTTAGAAAGCAAAAGGAAAAAGTAGGTAAAATGTGAATGAAGGATATTTATATTTTACCTAGTTTCACATAATTTTTTTCTTTTTCTATTCTAAATCTCTTTCTAAATTCCTCAACTTTGTTTGAATAATGGATTTGAATAGGGGTTTGGCAAGTGAAATGAAAAAGGAAAAGGAGAGTGAAATGTACTTATATTTTATTCTTATTTTATCTTCCTTTTTTCTTTTTCTTTTTCTTTTCCTTTCGAAATTTTTAGCCAAATTCATTATATAAACATAGCCTTAGTCTAGCGTTGTGAATCTGAAGAATAATTATAGTTTTCATGTATTTGTCAGTTTCATCTCTACTTGGTGTAGAGAACTTGTCAAAATATGTTTATTTTGCTTCACTTTTTCTTTCCCTGTGGCTGAAATGAAGGCATGAAATATATCTATTAGCTTTGTGTTGTCTTTAGACTGAATTAACCTGATGAAAAAAGCAGGGGCATGTTGCCTTTTTGTGGACAGGCTTCTCGTAAACTTCAGGGAAAGTAGTTTTGCATTGTTGGGTGAGCCTCTCGAGTAGTTTAATGACTGAAGGTTCAGTTAATGATGGTACATTATAATCAATTTAAGTATGTTAGCGCATGTTGTAAAATGATTTAACAGCTCTCTAAATTTGATATTTAGGCTTAGCTTATGTTGGATAGTTGAATCTATGTTATCTGGATGTTTTGTGCATATACTACTTTTAATTAATGACTCCTGCTTACACCTTGAGTAAATTCCCATGGCACAATTTTCATTTAGTTGCACTTAAAATACTATTATTGTGATCCGAGATCATGATAAGGCTTTTTCCATACAAACTCAGGCCTCGTTTGGCAAGTGATTTTTTTAGTCAAAAAGTCACTAAAAAAATCAAAAAGCCAACAACCCATACTAAAAAGTCAAAGATTCTCTTTTCTTTCTACTTTTCGCATATTTTTTTTTGTAAAAAGTCAAAAAGTCATCCCAAACATTCTAGTTTTTTATAGCGCTCATATTTTAGCCAAATAGCAAAAAAGTTACTAAATTAGCCTGTTCCCAAATGAGGCCTCAATATTTATAAAAACTAGGGTGGAAGAGTTTTTACTTCAGCTGGATTGTATTCTAAAGGAATGGTAGCATCACAATCCACCCTGTCCCAGACATGGCCATCATAAATGCTTCCTGCAATGGCGGTTCAGTATAAGCCATTCAATCTTATTTTCTTCTATTTTTTCTCTTCCCATAGAATTCCCTCTTGAAACATTTCCAGGAACTTGATTCTTATTTCCTTTTCTTCTAGCAGCATTTCTTCTTTAGACATCTGGAAATGTATCATATTAACCTGATGAAAAAAGCAGGGGCCTGTTGCCTTCTTGTGGACAGGTCTCTCGTAAACTTCAGGGAAATCATTTTTCATTGTTATTGGGTGAACCTCTCGAGTAGTTAATGACTGAAGGTTCAGTAAATGATGGGACATTGTAATCAATTTAAGTATGTTAGTTCATGTTTTGAAATGAATGTAACAGCTTCTAAACTGGTGTTTTAGGCTCAGCTTATGTTGGAGAGTTGTGTCTATGTTATCTGGAGGTCTGTTGACATACTACTTTTTAACTAATGACTCTCCTTACACGTGAAGTGCTGAGTTCTTGGTGTGTTTTTTGTTACCTTACGAACTCAATATCTATGAAAACTCTATGGGGAAGAATTTTTACTGAAGCCAAAAGGTATCCTAAAGGAATTGTCAAATCCATACAGTCCCAAACGTGGCCATTGTAAATGGTTCATGCGATGGCGTTGGAAGCAGGTTATGGATAGTCAATTCAATTTTATTCTCTCTTTTTCTGAATTTCTCATTTCCCATAGAACTCCTCCTTGAAACATTTCCAGAAACTCGAGTCTTATTTTCTAGTCTTTCGGTAGCACTTTCCTTTTGAGTGGCCGTAAATTTATCATTAGCTTTAGGTTGTCTTTAAATTGTATTAACCTGTTGAAAAAAGCAGGGGCCTGTTGCCTTCTTGTGGATAGTTCTCTCATAAACTTCAGGGAAATCATTTTTTTCATTGTTATTGGGTGAACCTCTCGAGTAGTTAATGACTGAAGGTTCAGTAAATGATGGGACATTGTAATCAATTTATGTATGTTCATGTTTTAAAATAATTGAAACAGCTTCTTAACTGGTGTGTTAGACTGGCTTTTGTTAGATTGTTGTTTATGGAATATGTAGGTTTGTTGACATTACTTTTTAATTAATGACTTTCCTTACACCTTAAGTAAATTCTGTTGGATCAATTTTTATTTAGTTGCACTTAAGATACTATTGTGATTCTCTCTGTTTTTTGCTACCTTACTAACTCAATATCTATAAAAACGTAAGGGGGAAGAGTTTTATTGAAGCCTTACCCAAAGGTATAATCCTGTCAGTACCAAACGTGGCCATGATAAATGGTTCGTGTGATGGCATTGGAAGCAGGTTATAATCAATTTGTTTCCCCTGCTTTTACTGAAATTTTCACTTTTCATATAACTCCCTCATGGAACATTTCCAGAAAATTGAGTCTTATTTCCTATTCTTCTGGCAGCATTTCTCCTTTGAGCAGCTGTAAATTTAGCACTGGCTTTGGGTTGTCTGTAATTATATTAACCTGATGAAAAAAGCAGGGGCCTGTTGCCTTTTTGTGGACAGATCTCTCGTAAACTTCAGGGAAATCATTTTTTCATCATTATTGGGTGAACCTCTTGATTGATTAATGAATGAAGGTTCAGTAAATGATGGGACATTATAATCCGTTGGAGTATGCTAATGTGTGTTTTGAAATGATCTTAACAGCTCTCTAAATTACTGTTTAGGCTTAGCTTATGTTAGAGGGTTCTATCTATGTTATTTGGAGGTTTGTTAATATATTAATGACTCTCTTGTGCCTTAATTAAATTACCTCTGGCTCAGATTTCATTTAATTGCACTTAGGAGTGGTCCTAATGCTTTTTGTTACAACCAGAATACTAAGGGCACATTTATGTTTGTTGTAGAAACAAGAATAAGGATGGTGTTATTGATTTGTCTAGCAACGCTTGCCATTCATCTTTAGATGCATTTGCATTATTAGTTAGTTAAAGGACTTACCAATCCTTCAATCCTGAATGTCTGTTCTTGTTTTAAATGTGCATACATCATTTTTATTCAATGACCATCTCATCACTTTTATTTTGTGACAAGTGCTTAGTTGTCATGATTTTAGCCATACCTCTAACGACAAGTGCCTCTAAATTCAATTTTGAATTCACAGTGCTATTTCTTCGTGTTAAATTAATAGAACACAAGGGAGACAGCGCATGCCATCAGGAAGCTACCTTTGACCAAGGCTAAAAGGTATTTAGAAGATGTTCTGGCTCACAAGCAGGCTATTCCCTTTACACGCTTTTGTCGGGGTGTGGGTCGAACTGCCCAGGCAAAGAACAGACATTCTAATGGACAAGGACGCTGGCCTGTCAAATCTGCAGGCTTCATACTTGACTTGCTAAAAAATGCTGAGAGTAATGCCGAGGTACTGTCCATTCTGGCTATACAATACTCACTTAATTAGTTAAACTTTTTCAACTTTCTTTACTGATTGCATGATTGTTCATTCATTCACTAGGTGAAAGGTTTGGATGTGGATACACTTTACATATCTCACATTCAGGTGAATCAGGCACAGAAGCAGAGACGCCGCACATACCGTGCTCATGGAAGAATAAACCGTATGTTTAATTTCTTTTTTTTTTATATATTGTTTATCCATTTATTTTTATATTTTAATTGTTTACTGGAGTTTTTTTATTTGTTTCTTCTTTGGACAGCTTACATGTCTTCCCCTTGCCATATTGAGTTAATCTTGTCCGAGAAGGAAGAGCCAGTAAAAAAGGAGGTAGGCCGCCTCCCTTTGTCATTTAGCATTCTTAGAATTCGAATTAGAGGAAGATTGGCGATGAAAAGTATAGAGAGGAGAAATTATGCACTTGTTTTTGTTGGGTCTTATCGATTTTTTTTTTTTTTTTTGCAGCCTGAGTCTCAGTTGACAACTAGCAAATCCAGGAAGTCTCAAGCTCTGCGAAGTGGTGCATCCTCTTAAACAGCTTTGATAGAACCAGCAGAGTTTAAGAAGTTTTATTGTCTCTTTCTATGCATTTCTATTGTCTCTCAGTACTGTTTTCCATTTTTCATTATTGATCTTTTACTTGAGAGGATATATGTATGGCTTGTTTTGTTGCAACCAAAATGCTATTTAGTCAAATTGCATTTTGTTTGGAGATTTCTTGATAAAACATAGTTGATTTCTTTTTTGAATGTCACTTCTGATGGATGCATGGGCAATGGGGAATGGAAAATTTTCGGAGTTATTTTGGTTATGATTTGATGTAAGCGTGGAAAAATTATCAAGTCAACACCATTCCTTCTTTGTTGGAAGATTGCATTTTGGGTTTTGTGGTCTCACCTATATATGGCAATAAAAATTTGAGATAGTTTTTCTATTCGGGGGAGTTTGTAGGCTTTACCTGCCTGAAAAAGAGTTTGTAGGCTTTTGTTGTCATCATGAGATAAGAATCTGTCTTGATCTGGCAAAGAATGGCAGATCTCGAATGTAACAATTGTGGTTGCTGCTTTTGAGAAGATTGATTGATGATTTTTGCTAATTGGTGTTGGTGGTTTTTCTATCTTGTTGGATGGGTTTGGGGATGTTGCTGTGCTGTGCTCAAAACTGTGACGTTTTGAATGATTGAATAAAAGCTATCTTCGGCCAAACACCGTCTTTTTCGTTGTGGAAACTTTACATTCCGTTGTAGGAACTTTACATGAGTTTTGTCTCTTTTTTTTGTCTTTTTTTTTTTTTAATTTATTGTAAGTATCATGTTGATGAAGATCTCGCAAAAGCTCCTCTACGCTAAACTCAAATGAGTGAGTTCCATTTCCATTATTTTCTGTATGAGTATTGAAGTTCTCAAATGAAATCAAAGGGAAGAAGAAAAGAGACCAAAAATATTTTAGCTAAATGTGGAATTTGGTCTCAAATCTTCAAGATTTCTTTCACTTGAATGTTTTATCTCACTAATTTTGTAGTTCTTTTGTTTCACTTGAAAAACAGGGTTTGTTTTCAAGTTGCATGTTGTTGACCTACCCTATGTTTCATAATGAATGTTGGAGGAGATTATTGTACTGCGTACACAGAAAAATGAGAACTTCATTAAACTGACTAATCTGGGAATTAATCTCACCGTGAACTTAATCTATATCTATATATATATATATGGGGGCAGCAGCCCTACGGCAGTGGAGATGGAGGTTCGACGGAGCAGGAGGTAGTCGAACATTTGTGAGGTTTATACGAGAAGGCTTCGCTTCGAGTCCAGCGTGCCGGTAGGGGATGAAACACGTCTTGACGAACATAGCTTTTATTCAAGCGTTCAAAACGTCACAATTTTGAGTGCAGCAGCATTCCCCAAACCCCATTTGGGTGTTCTTGGTAATATTGTTGGCAGCAATGTTAGAGATTTACATTTCGTGCTTACAAATGTATTGTACTTACAAATAAATTTACAATAATATGATAAGGGTGATGGATTTCATATCATTGAATGTTTAATCAATTAAAAATGAACTTATCAGATTACATTATTATGGATTAAATTATAAAAGATTTATGCGTGTTTCAAATATATATATTTTTTATTTTTGGCATGAGATGATTGAAGTGGAGAGTAATACATTTTTTAAGGTGGGTTTGTCCTGCAAAAACCTGAAGAAAGTGGATCTCCCAATAAAATTTAATCTAAATTACTTAGTAGTAAATTAGGGATGCATTTTATATGCTATTTATTATTTTGTCTATTCATTAATGTGCAATCCGGAAAATTATTCAATATTTCTGGAGTATCACGTGTCTGTATTTTTTAACTAATCATAATTTAATATGTCCTTTCATGTTCTTCAATCACCAAACATAATACCCCACCTATCTACCTTCTCCACCCATCATAATACTATAAAATATCACGTGTCTATACTCCGGAATTACCCAGAGAGCGATGCAGTATTGTCATACAAACACAAATATTTTATATAAACTAACGTTTATTTATATTTATTTATTAAAATTTTTAAATACAAAAATATCATTATCCAGTTAATTTAGTAACTTTGGAAATGGAGGTATCAAAAAAAATTATAAATAATATGATATATTATTAATAATAGTTTATAAGTTATGAAAGTTAAAAAATAAGAGAAATTACTCATGAATCCCATATTGAGAAATGTTGCTCTATCTAGTCCCGAGTGTTTTTTCGTAAACTATTTAGTCCTTTTTATTTTTGTATAATATCTTTGTTTGTTATATTGTATTTTTCAATTATCGATTTGCCCATATTGTGATTTCATTTTTTATTTTGTCATGCTATTGGATAAGGTATGTTGTAACATTCATTTTTTGTAGGTGGTGTTTAGTGGACTGTGTGGGTAGATTTTGATGTTAACCAGTTGGTGTTTACTTTCTAACGTTGGCTTTGCTTCTCTTCGATTACTTTTGTAGGTTGGGTGTAGTGTTGGTCAAAATAGAAAATTAACAATAAATAATAGATTTTCAATGTCCAACCCATGGATTATTAACTACAATTACCACATCACCAACATCAAGCGTCCCTCACCTACATTAACAAACAAACAACAGGCCTACCATAAAACAACAACAAAAATGTAAGCACACACTCTCGTATGGTTTACTCAACATAAGACACCAACCTACATCACCATAAAACCACAACGTAGTAATGGTAATAGCAAGAATAACAAATACACATAACTCCATCCCGTATTTGCCATTGACACACCCCAACAAACATTACATAATTCAGCATCACCACATCGTACAATGCAATCAACACTACTAAAACATATACATTTCAACCTAATCCACATCGCACCAAAACCCAGGCCTACATTACAAATCCAAAAAATACATACCTCGTCCCATGTTTTACGACAATGGTCTGCGGCGACAGTGATGTATAGATGTTGTCCTCACCGACGTTGAATTGACGAAATGGTAATCCCACACAACGTCATGCCGAACAAACTCTATTACTATGAAGGAGAGATGTAGATCAATATTAATTTGGGCAATTAGGGTATACCAATTTACTCAATTGTTAATTTGGGAATAAAGATCAACATTAACAAACTAAACACAAATCACGACAAACAAACTTCACAAATCATTGCAACGTCGGAATCAAAATCTAAAACCTTTCGTATTCACCGTTATAGTTTCGAACGCTCACTAGGGACACCAACAAAACATTGCAGTTCGTCATTGGGCATTTTGGTAAATTGAACATCACTAGTATCCCCTATTTACCCTCCCTTCTTGAACCCCAAACGCATAAAATATGTGTTTCAAAGTCTTTCCAATACAAATGGGACCTCTCGGTCCTTCAAAAAATACACAAGACTTAATGGTTTAATATTCCCAAATTTGGGATTTAATGGTGCTTTATCCTAAAAAATATATATAAGATGATAAAAATAAATATTAAGTGTAATGCTTTATTGTTTTAGTTTTGTTATATCGGATCATGGAGAAAAATTAATTCTAGTCTCACTATTTCATTGGGGCAAAAAAAACGTTACTGGGGGAAGGAAAACGGGAAGAAAATTGTTATCCTACGCTTAACCCCTGATCCCATCACTTCTTGGGAGATTTGCTTAAAAAAATTTTATAATAAAATTTTAATGTATTAAAGATAAACAAAAATAGTTTTTCTTGAAATGTCTAACAAATATCATTATTATCAAAATATTAAACTTTAAGATAATATAATTTTTGATATAGATGTCGATTTTTAATAAAATTAATATTTTTACAATTCTCTTATCAAGATCTATCAAATACGATCCATATTGACTATAAAATTCTTTAAAAACAAAATTATTGTTGTTAAAATTGATTTAAACCGTAATAGTAATATGTTGCTATGTTTGACAGTAACATGTTACTTTGTTTAATAGTAACATGTCAATATTGTCCAACAAATATTTTTTTTTTATTTTTATCCTTACTCAATTATGAGTTTTATTCTTAGGAGTTTATGAAGAAAAATAAATTAGACTATATTTTTTTATCAAATAAGGATCTAATGGAGGAGTTTTAAGTAAATTTCCCTCACTTTTCTTTATATTATGTTAAGACTAGATAATAATAATAATATAAATGATAGTTTATATTAAAAAACAAAACAAAAACAAAACAAAGAGAAATAACAAATCAATGGTAAGTTCAAAGATAAATATCAATTTGATAGAAAATTTTAGGAGTAATTAACATCCCAGTGAAAATTAGAAAAAATATTTATATATTAATTTTTATAAAATTTATTATTAATTTATAATTATTTTTAAAAAATAACACTGATGCTATATTTCCTCAAAATTCTACGAGTTTAATTTTTAGAGTAGCAAAATTTTTCATTAATAAGTAATTATTTTCTCTGACTTCTACTTAAATAATTTAATAATAATAATTTATGTGTTTAATTTCATGCAATGCATTTATATATCAAGCCCAATATATATTGCTGAATTTTTTTTATTTATTTTTTGAACTGATACTATATATAGCTGATTTTAATCTGCTTGTTTGCATTTTTCGTACCCCCTCTTCTTTCTTTTTTTAGGTGCGACGGAAAGTAATACCCTCTTCTTTCACACATCGTCGCCTTCTTTATTGAACCAGGCAAGTATCCTCTCTCGATCAACATGTTCACTTTTATCACAGTTCTAGGGTTTCTAATCCATATATATACATATAGTGTATGTAATTCTCCGATCCACAGTTTGTAGTTGAATTCTAGGGTTTATCTTTAGCGATCGATTCATTTTCACTCGTTTGTATAATCTACATATCTATTGATATCTGCAACTGTGTGTGTATGTATGTTTTCTCAGTTCTTAAACTCGATTATGATTTCAATTTCAATTTCGAGTTCAAATGCTCATCTTTCTGTCTTTGTTCTATAATAATTGATTCTCTCTCTCTCTCTCTCTCTCTCTCTCTTCAGAGATGGATTGGCAAGGGCAGAAGCTATCGGAGCAGTTGATGCAGATTCTTCTGCTGGCTTTTGCGGTGGTGGCGTTTGCAACGGGCTATGTCTTGGGATCGTTCCAGACAATGTTGTTAATCTATGCCGCCGGGGTCGTTATCACTACTTTGATCACTGTTCCCAATTGGCCTTTCTTCAATCGAAACCCTCTCAAGTGGCTCGATCCAAGCGAAGCCGAGAAGCATCCGAAGCCGCAGATATCTTCTAATTCTAGTTCGAAGAAGAAGACCTCTAAGAAGTAGGTCAATTCACTTATCATATTCAGGTTATTTCTAGGGTTTTTGATGACTTTTTGGATGTGTTTGGTATCTGTGTCTCTGCTTTTTGGCTTAATTGGACCTATAAAGTTGCCTTTAATTTGATAACTTTATACAATGACTAAAGGATTTAATCTTCGCATTTGCCTTTGGCTTCAATCTCATTTTTGGTTCTCGTTTATTTCTTGGCTCTATAGCTGTTTTAGGTGTTTATTGGAGTGCTTTTTTTTCTCTATTGGAATGCTAATTCATTGGGATAGTTCTCTTGTCACTTTACATTTAGAATTGAATGTGGGTAACTACACAGTTGAATTGTGGTAGTTTACGTTTTGTACCCATTTTAATTAGGTTTAACTAATTTGTTTTCCATATGTGAAATTTCGATCTAGATGCTTATGAATTGGTTGTATTTGTTATTGATGTTATGAACTTGTATATGGATATGGCCTCATCCTGGTAAGCATTTATTAGGTGATGAAATGCTGTATTCATTCAGATTCTAATGCGACATATGGTGAGAGTTCTCATTTATTCACTTTGGAAGAATTTTTTTATTTGGACCACGTAGGATTTTCATTTAGACAGATCACGTTATGTAGATTCAGCATCTAACTGCCTAAGAGTTAGCATTTAGATTTGGAAAGGGAGTGCACAGTAGGTGCTTCAGGTTTGTGGGAAAAAGAATACCAAAGTGTAAAGTGGGGAAGATATTTCGTTTTGATTTTCTACTTTCCAATGGGGCAAGTACATACCGTATCGTTGTGGATGTGGTTTGCCCTTTTAGAGCTGCTTCAATTTGTCTCAGCAATGGACTCATCTAATATTACACACCTTTTACCTCTTTGTTCAATAGGTATCAGGTACATTGTTGGTGGGAGTCCTATATAGCATAAAGTAGTATCTATTAGAGCATCTCCGACATTAATAGACATTTTACCTAGCCCAAGGTTATTATAAAGTATACATTTTATTTTGCCTATCCATTTTTTCATGTTTATACTCCAACCCAGCTCTATATTTTAGTTATTCATCCAAATACTTCTCATTTTATGGAATGCCACATCAGCAACCAAGATGGAGGGAAAGGATCATAAGGATTAAATATATTTTGCCAAGCATTTGAAGGATAGCTGTATTTAGCTGGGTATGAGTTGAGGCAAAATGCCTAATCATGTACCTTAGTGTGTTGGAGTTGAAAAAAGTGAATTATACTAGGTGTTTTGACTTATAGGCATTATATGCCTAGTGGGTTGGAGATAATCTTAGATAGCTTAGATACGTTTCAACTTTGGGCATCGGCGGGTGTTGGAATGAAATCCTGGTCTTTTTTTGCGAGCTTGGAGAGAATTTTCTAGAGATGAAGATGGTTGTCTAACTAATACCAAGAATTTGTATATTTTTGCAAGTGCAAAATTTAGATCAAAATAAATTTGATAACCTAACCATATGCAATTGAAATCAAGTCAAATCTACAAAACAATTGTGCAGAAACTTAATCCAACAGGAAAAGGAGGAAAATGTAGGAATAAACTTTGTAGGACTTCATGCCAAATAATATCTGAGTTTCTGTAAGTTTGAAGCAATCGATATGATGTTTTCTGGCATGTTGATTCATACATAGATCTTGTGGAGTGAATGAACTCCTTTCTCAGATTTGTGTGTATATGTGGCTGACCAAATTTATGGACTTGGGTCATTATTGACCAATTAGTGTCATGTACCGTTGTCTAGTTTGGGATAATAAATTTGAAATATATTTATGTTAGATTCTTAGGAGCATAGCGTAAGAGAAACAGTCTTGATGATGAGCATAAATTCTGTGAGGACATGTCTTCTGAATCAGGTTGACATGTGCTAGGCTAGGAGCATTTGCTCAAAGCAAATGTGATCTTTTGAAGGAGAATGCATCATTTTAAAGAAAATGGCTGTAAACACAAACAGTCGTGCCTATTCGTGCAGTACATTCACTATAGTTTACACAATTGAAAGTTCTACATGTGGTTATCATTGTTTTCTTGAGGTAGAATAATTCTTCTATGTATCCATATCCTCTTCTCTTTTGTTGTTTTTTTCCCCTTTCTTTTTTAATTTTTAAAAATTTACATTGTAATAATGCCCTACTGTAGGCATTATTTTGTTTCTGGTGGACAATTGTGACTCCTCCAGTCATAAGGGGTCAGCCATTTTCAATGGCTTGATTCAACGGATGACCTTACCTTGGCTTGCATTAGGGGTGAAAGAACTACTACTAAAATCAAACTGACCGACCGTACCGAACTAAACCGCCAGTGTGCGGTCTGTTTGTTTCTCTCTAATTCGCTCGGTCGGTATGATTTTTCAGGTTTTTCGGTTTTTGATTTCGGTCCAAGTTTTAGTTAATTTTACACCGAACGGCACCGAAATAAACTTCTATCTTGGCAGTCCACGTGTTTTAATCCTAGCAGCTCACTCAATATAACATAATGACACAACTTTTGAGCTTCCCACAGTGAAAAAGTTTAAAACACCTTTTTGCCTTCCCTAGGTAAACAAGTAGTCTCTTTCATCTCTCTCTCCTGATTCATCTTCTCTCTCTCTCACTCACTCACTGATTCAGTCCCTTAGGTTTCTCTCAATCCCACATCCCTCTTCCATGTTTTTGCTCCATGCTTCCGAATCTGCATTGCCATTTGTTGCCGAATCAAAAACCCCTCACCTCTCTTTGAGACTATCAAAAGCACAACCGCCAGCAGTACCTTCCTTCATCCCTTCCTCCTCCTTCACCCAATTCTCTGAATCTGCACCGCCATTTGACTTGAAACCCACTCGTCTCTCCCTCTGATCCTCAAATCTTCGTCCTTCCAAAGGAACAAAGCTAACATAAATTTCAAGGATGCAGTAAAACCATCCATCTTGCAAAGACTTGTTCACTCCTCTTTTACTCTGTTTTTGGTGTAACATTTTGACACCGAACTAACATAAATTTCAAGTCCAAACTTTTGATTTTGAAAATCCTAATTTTGATTTTGAATGCCCTAATTTTTGGAACCCTTTTGAAAACCCCATCTGGTTTCAACATTAGATTTTAATCATGAGCAATATCTGTTTGCTATTTGATTTTTCATGGTGTATACTCATATATATGTCTATATATATATGTTTGTGAATCAATTGACTGTATTATATATATATAATCTTTTCTAGATCATCATATATATTTGTCAAATCCTTTCTAAATCTCAAAACCATAATAACCGCAGCAAACCGCATAGACCGGTTTGGTGCAGTTTATATGTGTACCTCAGTCTGTTCGGTTCACATAATTACAGAACCAAATAAATTGGTTCGGCCCAAAAACTGGAAAAAAAAAAAACCGGTTGCACCGCACCGCACTGATTTCACCCCTAGCTCGCATCATGTTATCTATAAAGTCATCAACCAAAGTTTGATATTGCTCCCCCTAAGAACAGGTGGTATGTGGGAAGAGAGGCTAGCTTGTTTTTATGGTGCAGACTTTAGTAGTGTCTCAAGGTTAGTTACCCACAGCCAAGTTTACACAATACAGGGAAAAGGGTGGAGACATTGGCGTAAGAACAGCACTCTGTTTGGTTTGCAAATTTAAAATGTAGTTTTTGAGTTTTGACATTGGCGTAAAAACAGCACTCTGTTTGCTTTGCAAATTTAAACAAATAGTTTGAGTTTTTGATCAGTATATATATGTATATTTTTCTTCTAGGGATTTGTTTATTATTTTTAGATTTGCTTATTTAAATACACTTAAAAAATGTAGGGTAAATTATTTATAAATTCTATTTGGAAGACTTATACAAGATATGATCCTACGAAAAAACTTATAACCTAGTAGGTTCTATGATTTTTTTTGTGGACATATCTACCTCCAATTTTAATTAATTAATAATTTGATTAATGATAATACCATATATGGGAAATTCAATGTTACTATTGTTATCATAGATTGTGATCACATGTATATGATTAGAAATTTGAAATTCAAAATAATCTAATTAATGGCAATATCATATATTGAAAATCCAATATTACCATAGATTGTGATTGTATCTATATGGTTGAAAATTTGAAATTCAAAACATAAATGTAACATGTAATATCTTAAACCCAATGTGACATTGACATTCTCATATGCTTCTGAAATTCAAAATAACTTGATTGATGGCAATACCATATATGGAAAATTTAATGTTACTATAGATTGTGATAATATCTATATGGTTGGAAATTTAAAATTCAAAACATAAATGTAATATGTAACCTCCCAAACCCAATGTCATATTCTCAAATCCTCATATGTTTCTCATCACAAACTTGTCATAAATATAACATGTTACATCCCAAACACACCGTAACATTCTCATATGCTTCTCATACTAAATCAAAAGTGACATTTCAATATTTCACCATTGAATTATGAATAATGTAACCTTTTAAATGTGACAAGTAACATCTCAACCCAACTTATGTATTGAACCACTATCACCCCCAACTTATGTATTGAACCACCATCACCTCCCAACTCAGCGTAACTTTAACATCGAGCGATAAGATTCAATTCACATTCAATTACAAACCCAAGTCTCCAATAATTTTGTGCAATGTATTGTGATATATATATAAACACTGGTTACAACAGAGGCACAATACATATTCAAACACATATACAACCGAACAAACACCCAAATTCAACCCACATTCAATTAAAAAATTGAAAACTTAGTGATTTTGCACAAGGTGCTGTGACATGTATGTAAGCACTGATTACAACGACACCATACAAATTCAAAAACAAATACAACCGAACGTAACACACAAAAGACATAACAATGTTGTGGATGTGGGTTAACATTATAACGTAAATGTAACGTCATTGGAGGCTAATGAAAGTGTGTCAATAAATAGTTGTAATAGATTGTCAAAGCCACATCAGATAAGATGACAGTGAAATATGAGCAAATGGCACCACACAACAACAAATTTCACCGATTGGAGAGGCAAAAACCATAATTGGAGTCCAAAATCGGGAGAAGCAGACAACACACAACCCCCAACCTTGACGACACCATCGACCATATCCACATTCAAACAACATTTTCAAAATCCACCAGAATCCACAATCAGGGCAGACAACACACAACCCCCAACCTTGACGACACCATCGACCATATCCACATTCAAACAACATTTTCAAAATCCACCTGAATCCACAATCAGGGCGACATTCACGTTCACGGACATATCCTTCACAATCCACTTTTCTAAAAGCCTCAAAAAACGTGATATGCTAAATGATACAATAACCTATAATATAAAAACAAATTAAAAGTATAATAGTACACTAACACTATTCATTTATAACTCATAAGACTCTGTGAAATACATTCTTATCTAAATAAGACTTGAAACTCTATAAAAAATTACACAGGATTTCACATTAAATTAGTTCCTATAATAGGACTTATAAATAATTTTTTCAAAAATATAAAAATTCAATACATTTTAATATTTTTCTTTTTTGTAATTATTGAATTCCTTTTATATTTCTTCACAAATATTTATTTTTAAGTACATTTAAATTAAGTGTATTTAAATTTTTTAAAAAACATTAAGTACATTAAAGACAACAAAACATGACAAACAGAAAATTCAAAATAAAAAAATCACGTTCATCTCATGGAAATCACTCACTGTACAAACGTGAATTCATCAAGCTTCTGGAACAACAGTACCAAGTTACAAACGAGAATTCATCAAGTGCCTGGAATAACAGTACCAAGTTGTAGTGGTGATGGGGTCGCATGTCTCTTGCATCAAGCAAGCAGATTGCTATAGGTAGGTGATGTTACAAGCTGGATGGGGGAGCTCACATCAACCAAATGCATGCAATTCCATTCCGTTAAACCAAAAGCATTAGAATTTTATAGCCAGAATGGTTCCATTTCAGAGCCATGTAAGGGGCAAACCAAAACCAAAACCATCACCATCACCATCACCATCACCATCACCATCTAAGCATATATTTGCAAGTATGTCACCAACAGTCAATATAGAGGGATGTACATTCGCCTTTCTGGGTTTAAAAACTTTCAATCCCCATGTCAGCCACCATCTAAGCATATATTTGCAAGTATGTCACCAACAGTCAATATAGAGGGATGTACATTCGCCTTTCTGGGTTTAAAAACTTTCAATCCCCATGTCAGCTTCCATCAAACAAGGAAAAACTCCCAGGAAATCTTCTTCATCTTACACTGTACCATGTGTGAACTTCAAATAAACCCTATGACAAAAAGGGGTCAAGAAACTAACTATTTATTTACAATGTAATAATGAGTTGGAGGACATTGCTTCCTACTGGTTTTCATGCGTCATTGCTCTTAAAATGGGATCATCTACGAAGTGGTCGTCATCGTCATCAAGTTCGTCCAAGTCATCTAGTATTGACTGGTTCATCTTCTTACGAGATTGTCTCCGGTGCTTCTTAGGCTCCAACCTTGGTTCTGCTTGCTTGACACCCATATCTCCCATCTTGTACCTGCAGAAGACATAATCCATATATATCATGAATCAAAGAACGCAAAATAACGAGAAATCAACGAAAAACATGGAAAGTTTTTGGAAATTATTCAAGGAAAACTGAAAGTTAAGATTGAAAGTTAAACAAGTTTGGTCAAGAACTACAAAACTTGGGACTTTTATCACAGTGGTCCAAAATCATAGCAAAGTTCTTCTACATGTAATCAAATTATCCATAAATTGATGGCTTGTACAATTGTGGGCAATAAAACGAAGAATATACTCGAGTACAGATTTACTAAAAGTGCATGGATTTTCTAATGATTTGAAAAAGTATTTTAGAATACCTCAAAAAACATCCATGAATGAGTCCTTTTTGCTTAGTTTTAAAATTAAACGTGAAGTTGTGATTTAAGTGTGGAGTTGTGAGTTGAGTTTTGAAAAGAAAAAATTTGTTTAATTAAGAATTTCAAAAAAAGTTTTTGAGTTTTAAAAAGAGTTTTGAGTTTTATTTTAAGTTTTGAGTTTTTAAATTTTGAGTGTATTTTGATTTTTTTTTGATTTATTTTTTTAAAATATTTAAGAAAATTTTATTTTTTATTTTAAATATATAATTTTTATTAAAAAATTTTTATTTTATTTTGTAAATATTTTAATTTTAATATTTTAAACTCAAAACATAATTCCACACTCAAATCGTAACCAAACACATAACTCAAAACTCAATTCAAAAATTATTTTCAAAACTTATATTCAAATACATGATTCGAAATTTTACACTACTTTTAAAACTCTATACTCAAATCGTAACCAAATACATAACTAAAAAAATTAAAACATTTACAAAATAAAATAAAATATTTAAAATATTTTTTTAATAAAAATTATATATTTAAAATAAAAAATAAAATTTTCTTAAATATTTTAAAAAAATAAATCAAAAAAAAATCAAAATACACTCAAAATTTAAAATAAAACTCAAAACACTTTTTAAAACTCAAAAACTTTTTTTGAAACTCTTAATCAAACAAATTTTTTCTTTTCAAAAACTCAACTCACAACTCCACACTTAAATCACAACTTCACATTTAATTTTAAAACTAAGCAAAAAGGACTCATTCATGGATGTTTTTTGAGGTATTCTAAAATACTTTTTCAAATCATTAGAAAATCCATGCACTTTTAGTAAATCTGTACTCGAGTATATTCTTCGTATAATTTTAAAAAATAAAATAAAAAAATATTTTTTAAATATATATATTTTTTAAATAGAATTTTGAAAAGAGTTTGGTTTTGAATTTTAAAAAGAGTTTTGAATTAAGTTTTGAGTTGTGTGTTTGGTTATGATTTTTGAAAGTAATTTTTGAATTGAGTTTGGTAATGTTTTTGAATTGTGTGTTTGGTTAACAGCTTTGAAAAGAGTTTTTGACAATTTTTGATTGAAATCACAATCAAATCATGATTTTGAAATTAATTTAAAAAAATAAAATAAAAATTATTTTTTTGAATTTTTTTCTCTTAAAATAGAGTTTTGAAAAGAATTTTATTTTGAGTTTTGAAAAAAGTTTTGAATTGAGTTTTAAGTTGCGTGTTTGGTTATGAATTTTGAAAAATAATTTTTGAATTGAGTTTTGAGTTGTGTGTTTGGTTATGATTTTTGAAAGTAATTTTTGAATTGAGTTTGGTAATGCTTTTGAATTGTGTGTTTGGTTAACAGTTTTAAAAAGAGTTTTTGAAAATTTTTGATTGAAATCACAATTCCAAAACAAAACCAAAGGGCGCCCAAGATTTTCTCTGGGATTTGTAGTCTATAGTCGAAAAATAACTCTTTTTTAAATAAAAAAATTCTAGTAGTCTATATGCTTGACAATCACATGGATGACTAGCAGAAATCTGATAAAAACAAACATGGAAGCGACCAAAAAGACGTCTAGGCAAGATATAATAAGAGCCAAGCAATTTTAACACAGACCAAAAACAAAAAAAAATCCAGATTATAACAACCACTATTACACAATGCCAGACCCGATAAAAGGAAAGAAACACGAGTGAATGTATGAAACCGATCACCTAATTGTGTGTGTTATAATGGAGGCCTTTGTTATTAACAAACTATATAAGCATGTATCACAGAAAATATCAGTCATGATGCATTACGGAATTTACTTTTGCATACCTTACATCTCCCTCTCTTTTGGTTCCAACTGTTCTCAACTGAAATTCCTCTCTGATTTTGATCTCATCAAGCAGTTGGAAATAGTATGGATATCTTTCCCAATCACCTTTCACAACGCAACCGGGTTCACCAAGATGCAAGCAATCATTGAACGAGCATTTTGTGGGCTCACCATCCTTGAGCATTCTCCGAATCTGAGAATGAAGGCATCAGATAGAAACAAACAACGCAATGTGATGTCAGAAATTCAGAATTAGGCATACAACAAGGGCATTGTATCCTCCATCCCCTTGTCCCAAAAGACTCATAACTACTGAATAATGGCTTGATATTCTGGACTCGAAATTCTCACATGATTCAATAGCTATTAATTTCAGGACAGGGGGTGGTTTTGGGGACAGGATCCTTGGCCTACGAAAAGAACCAAGTGAAACAAAATATTCAAAGTTGAGAGCAGAAACCTCCGGGAAATGTTGAGCAATTGATTGTTTTGTTACTTTCATCAAACTAGGTTGGTTAAACCCAGGAGTATCTACAAGAAATCCCCCTCCAGATAATGGAAGAATAGAGACATTGCGAGTAGTGTGCTTCCCCCTGCCACTTCTTGTTGACACTTCTCCAACATGCTGATCTGCAAACCACTTGCTGCCTAGAATCTGCAGCACGGTAGAGATTAGAGGAACAAATAGTGGACTGACTAGTGGACACAAATATGGGTAGAAAAAGAAATAGAAGATCATAAGACCAAGTACAAGAAAACAGAGAAAACGTACAGAATCAAACCAATTATCCCCTTCAGCGGCACCAAGAACATGCTTATTGCTTCTCAAGCATTTGTCGATGGACTCCCTACACCACTTGCCCACAATAACAGAGGTCTGCTCTCTCAAAGTGAACTCAAGAGTATCAAGTCCATATTTTGATTCGACACTGCAAAAAATTGGTTCATAGCCCCAGTTGCGAAGCCTAATTTTCCATGCTTCCAGTGACTGCATAATCCATCAAGGCTAACAAAATTTGAAAACTAGCAACAAGATAACAAATAGAAGGCTGAAAATAAATAGAATAACACAATCTCATATGTATATATATATATCAAATCCTATCAAAACAAGATGCAAATGCCAATCCATCTGCTAGAAAAACAGTACCATAACAAACTTTAGCAAGCAAAGTTATGCTTCCAGTATTCTTAAAAACTTAAGCCACAGTTAAGTATGATATACGCATTAACTCTCCTATGCGAATCATGCACTTGCGAGGAAAACCTACAATTTCATTTTTCAAGCAATTGACAATTTGACATAAGCAAATGCAGCGATGTCTAACTAGCACATTAAAGATTCAATGTCACTACAGCATTCACAATGTTTCCAGTAGTCTTAAAACCTTAAGCCACATTGAACTATGATTTAGGCATTATCTCATACACATTAACTCTCCTATGCGAATCATGCACTTGCGAGGAAAATCTCAAATTTCATTTTTCAAGCAATTGACACAAGCAAATACAGCAATGTCTAACCAGCACATTAAAGATTCAATGTTACTACAACATTATTCACAATTAGCTTCAAAAATTCAAATTCAATTTCATATAAGATTCACACAAGACATTGAAAGAGAATTTGAGAATGACCTCTTCATCAACAAGCTCTGATTTATTCAGTGCCAGAGTGAGTGGTATTCCTGTCGACTCGGCCTCAACCAAAAACCTAGTGAGTGAGAACGGTTCAACCTTCGGCTGATCCATCGAGAACAAAACTAGCAAATGATCAATATTCGCCACCGGAGGATCAAGAATCTCAGTCTTCCTCTGAAACACATTCTCGATCATTCCTCTACGATCCACCCAATCAATAGACCCTACCAAAACCTTGTCCCCAACCAATACTCTCCTCTTGATCTTCTTCAACACAGCTTTCACTACACACAACAATTCAACTCCAACTCTCTTCTCTTCCGAAGATTCAACCGATTCAGCTGTGGAAGTTTCTGGAGAGTCCAATTGAACAACGACGCGCATGAAATTCGCTTGTGCGGAGGCGACCATGCCGATGGCTTGGTTCTGAGAGAGATCAGGCTTGTCTTCGGGGGAGAGAACAGGTGCGAGATTGGAGGAGAAGTGCTTGACTGTTTGGCGTGCCTTGAGGAGGTTCTTGTTCGGTTTTTTCGAGACATTGTTAGGGTTGTTGTGTTGTCTGGCGGTTATAGCGAATGAGAGGAAGCGGAAGGAGGGGAGGCGGCGGAGGACGGTGGCGGAGAGAGGGAGGCACGGGATCGTGCGGTGGCGGAAGATGGAAATGGAGGCGATCGGCATGTGGTGGTTGGTGGTGGCTTTGAGAGAGAGAGAGAGAGAAGTTAGGGCTTGGGTAGAGGGAGAAATTGTAGAGAGAGAGTCATGACTAATGAGTACTGGTTGTTATGTAACTGTTATATGTATCTATACTATATATATAGATATATATATCAGTCTCTCTCTCTCTCTAGCTCTAGCTCGAATGGCGACCAGCAAGTTTCAGCTTCAGCTTAAGCGTCTTACTTTCCTTCAGTGTTCTGTGCTTTATTGATATTGCCAAGGCAAAATCGTACAAGTCGGATTTGGTTCATTACGGCGTCGTTTTGTCATGTATCAATTTACAAATTTTGATTTTTTTTTTCATTAAAAATAAAACCAATTTCACGAGAGCAATTGAGAAAAAATCAAAATGCTCTTCAATGGGTTCTTTTGAAAAGTGAGTTAATAGTCCAAAGTTAATTTTTAAACTATTTTAGGTCATATTATTTCCTACAATTTTTTACATATTTTTTTCAATAAAAAAAGTCAAAAAAAAAAATTAAAAAATCAATTTTTAATCATGTACCCAAAACAATCTAACGCCAAATACAACAGCACCAGCTGCCTTTGTTACCACGTGGCACAAGTTTAGTGGATGACATTTAGGCCAAGTTTGGGAAGACCGAATAAGTGCACTTTTTGTCTTTTTGGACTAAAAAATTGAGGTTGAAAATGTGGATGTTTGGGTTAATTTTTTGACTTTTTATTGAAAAATGTGTAATAAAAAATTGTAAAAATTGATTTGTAGAGAAAAATTTGAATTGGGAGTTGTTAGTATTGGGAGTTGTGCAGCCGTAATTGTTGACTTTTGGTAAATAGTGTTAACTTTTTAACTTTTTGAGTAACTTTTTGACTTTTTGACTTTTTGAGAACCTCCCAAACTTGGCCTTAGTGTTCTGTGCTTTATTGATATTGCCAAGGCAAAATCGTACAAGTCGGATTTGGTTCATTACGGCGTCGTTTTGTCATTTGGAGGCCCACTAATTACAAACGCAGATATTGGAAAACTAATGGCCCACCCAGCCCAGCTATTATTTTAGAACTTGAGACTAACCAATGGATGGCGGCCTATTTTAGAAAGTAGGCCAAAACTTGATTTTTTTATTTTAAAATGTAAAAAAAAATAAAGTAGTGATGTGATTAAAAGAAATTAAAAAATTGGCTTTTAACTAAGAGCATCTCCAATGGTAATAGACATTTTACCTATCTAAACATTACTATAAAGTACATATTTTATTTTGCCTATCAGCTATTTTATATTTCTACTCCAACCATGCTCTTTATTTTAGCTATTCATCTAAATATTATTAATTTTATAAAATGCCACATCAGCAACAAAGATGGAGGAAAATGATCCTGATGATTAAATATATTTTGCCTAGTCTTGAAGGCTAGCTACATGTAGCTAGTGAATGTGAGTTGAGCTAAAATGCCTAATCATATGCCTAGTGCATTGGAGTTGAAAAAAATGAGCTATACTAGGCATTTTGACTAACAAACATAATATATCTAGTGGGTTGGAGATGCTCTAACTTTTTAGAATAAGTTTGAAGTAAATAAAGTACAATTTCTTATGTTTGTTAATAATTAATTTTTTTAGTTTATTTAAATTATTTATTTCTTAAGTTATGAACAAGAGTTGAGCAAAATATTCTGGGACAATTACAAAAAAATGAAAAAAAAAATAATAATAATCCCATAAGTTGCATCAAACACTGGTGTTGAAGATTTCGAAGTTCGATAAATTTTATTTAACTTTTGTATTTTTGTTTGATGAAAGAGAATGTACATAGAAAATGTATCACACGAGTCACAAGATTTGGGGCTAGAAAAAATAAAAATAGCGGGAGGGCTTAGGACATAATTTTTTTTAAATTTTGTCAGTGCAAGCCTGGCCTGAACCAGGCCCGCCCAATGATAATTCCTACAAGTGACACCTAGTGCCAAATGTTGTCCAATATTTCAGGCCCAAATTCTTTGAAGAGCTCATGGGCCTTAGCCCTTATATAGCAAGAGTCATCTATGCACATCATTTCTTTTTGGGAGGTTCTTGGGATGTTTTATATCTCATTTTTACATGCTATGCTTTTAATTCTTAAATTTTTATTCAGTATATATATATATATATATATATATAGACAGAGAGATATGGGAACTACGCTGAAAGCAGTGCATGAGTCAGAACACTTGCACAGATAAATATTTTTTACATGAAAATGATTTATAAGTAAAATTTTTATACATAAAACTCATATAATTATGATATTTTTATAATACTAGACTAAGATAATGGATAAAATATCATATCATTTTGTATTAAAAAAATTGTATGAAAATTATGTTTGTGACTAGGCATGGTCATAATGTGTGCGTCAATTGAATCTAAATAACAATAATTCTAATAATAATAATAATAATCTCATGCTTAATAATATAAAATTAATCAGTGTATTTGGTTTGATTAAGTTTTTTAAAAATTGAATTTTTTGGTTTTCGTATTTTTTTTTTAGTGAATATTTTTAAAATTTTAAACATTTTATTTACTTTTTTAGATGCACCTTACTTAGATGTATCTAAAAAGTAAACAATTTGTGAAAAAATATTTTTAAAAAATTAATAAATACATAAAAATACAAAAAAAAAAA